AATGACTGTGTTCCCCTTTTGGTTTCCATTTAAAACCACAACAAAAGGGGTTGCCATTAAAAAAAAAAAACAGGAGGATCCCGCAGGTTGGATCCTGTGAAACCTCTAAGCTTCAATCATATTTTTCTTCTGCGCCTTTTCTGGGCGCCGGCCTTTCATTTGGTTTCTCTTTAACTGCGAACCAAAACGGGTGTTCAACATTTTGAGAAACAGGTTTGCATTTGACTTCCTCTGCATTCTATCCAACAAAGGGGCTTCACATTTCTCATGTTGTCCAAACTTGTTTTGGGAAAACTGGGATGTCAAAGTGCCAAGTGCTGTGAGCTAGCTCAAGTCCATGACTTGATCCCTGGTTCGATCTCGGTTCTTTCAATTTGAATCCGGTAGCGTGGCAATGGCCGTGGAAGTTGACGGGGAGTTGGCGGCGACGGAGCTGGAGAATCCCGGGTCGGGTACGGCTGCTCCAAGTGCTGTATCCCCCGCGGAGGGATCTAGCTTGGACAAGCAACCCGAGCAGCTCAAGGAGGCTACCAACTTCTTGTGTCGCAAGGAGGAGCCTGGAGTTGGGACGGCTGCCTCAAGCGCTGTATCGGCTTCTGGGGACTGCTGGGTTCTTCCAGGCCGCTTAGGAGAAGAGCCTCTCTACGGGGGGAACCATGGCATTTCCTACCACCGCAGACCTGGTTTCCCACGGAGGTCTTTAGGCAGAGGGCAAGCTAGACCTGCGCGGGGACGCCAAACCCGGCCAAGGATCAGGTTTGGTGCCTTTAACGTCAAGGAGGTGGCCTGGCTGGCGCCATTCCTGGAACACACTCGCCCGTCTAGGCGAGTCGCAGCGTTGGCCTCCTCTTCATGTTCGCGGCAGATAAGGTGAACACACATCATCCACATCCCCCTTCGGACGGACAATGAGGGAAATGCCTATGCCGCTTCCAAGCGTTCTGCCAAGAAGTGGCCTTGCTCGGTGCTGCTGGTGGAGCTCTCAGCTCACGACTTGAATTTCACCGGATTTGACACGCGGAGGAGAATCTCCGTGGCGGACGGCTTCACGCCAGCCTGCATCCTACCAGATCCTGGCCCTCCACATCGATGTGCAGATGCGGGACAAGGACCTTGTTTGGCTGGACTGGACGAGCAGCGTCTGCCTGGACCCTGGTTTTTCTTACCACTCCAGGGAACCTCGCCTGGTTTTCTTTTTGACACCCACTGGGTATCCGGTTGGTGGGCTTGCCAAGACCGGATCTCGATTTAACACGGTTTGCCACGAGACCGAGGTTCAATTTAACACGGGCGTGTGAGGGAAAGGGGGTATGTGAATACCCTTTAATCCAAGGAGGGTCGGCAGAAAGCTGACACAGCCTGGAGGCTGTGTTCGCAGCTCTGCCCGCCCTCAATTTTTGGATTTCAGCCACTCTCGCGGTCTCTTGCCAGAAAGGGGTCGACTTTTCAATCAAGCCTTAACAGCCATGCACCTCGTTCAGTCCTTCTTGTCGCATTTATTTCGGGAGGTGCCCCACGACCCAAGGTTCTCACATCAGTGTTTCTGAGCATGGACCCTGTTTTGGTCCATTGGTTGCGAATTTAAAGGTAAGGTTCGCATATCAAAGATATTTAGTGGTTCTGTTTTGCGCGTTCTGACGTCTAGTGTCCTTGGTGTGGGTTTGACTAGCGAGACACCGAATTTTGTGAGCTTGATTCTTTATTGTTGTTTGTTTGCTGCTTGGTTGGTTTGTTGGTTGGTTGCTCACTTGCTTGGTTGGTTCGTGGTTGCTTTACCTGTTTCTTGCTTGTTTTGCCTTGCCTTGCCTTGCCTTGCTTTGCTTTGCTTTGCTTCGCTTCGCTTCGCTTTGCTTGCTTGCTTGCTTGGCTTGCTTGGCCTGCTTAGCTTGCTTGGCTTGCTTGCTTGCTTGCTTTGCCTGCCTGCCTGCCTTGCTTGCTTGCTTGTTTGCTTGGTTGGTTGGTTTGGTTGTGTTTTGTTTAGCTTTGTTTGCTTCTGTGTGTGTGTGTGTTGTCTCTTTGCTTTGTTGTTTGTTTGTCAGTGTGTCTGTCTGTCTGTCTGTTTGTGTTGTACTGAATTGTGTTGCATTGAAAGGCATTGTGCTGTTTTGTTTTGTTTGTTTGTTTTTGCGTTTGTTTGTTCTTCGGTGTTTTGCTTTTGTGTTTTGATTGATTGACCGGGCGCTCGCTTGCTTGTGTGTTCTTTGGTACGGATCTGTTCGTATCTGCTTCTCCGAGGTGAACGTTGTTACGGGGGTGTTCTGTGCGACGGCCCTGGAGTCTGCTTCTGCTGACAAGGACGGAACCTCGAGTTGTTTTACGAGGTGGGGCGCATTCTAATGATTTGTTGATGCGGTGCTGCACCGATGCTCATGATGCATGCAGATGAATGTCAGCCCTGGGATTGCATTCGTGTATCTCTTGTCATCAGGGTAACTTGGCATTCTTGTTTTTGCTTAAGCATATTGTTTTGTTGTTTCTCATTTTCTGCTGGTTTTACAAAGAACTTCTCACTACTGGATGTTGTGTTTCCAGGGGGCTTAAGCGAATGGACGCGTTTGTTCAAACAACACAACATTGCTTGACCTGACAGGAAATCGCCACCATGAGGCAGCTTCAGCGGAAGAACGCTCAGGCGCGGATGATGCAACTAGTTGGAAAATCAACGCAGCACTGGTGAGGGCTAATCTGTTACCGTGTGCGCTGTGGCTCTTGCACAGGTGGAAGACTTGAAGAAAGCATTCATTGAAATCCAGGACCACGAGTCCAATTTGGCGCCTTGCACGCATTTTGACTCACACGTCACAATCCAGGACACACATACACACACACACACTTTCAGCCGCCGCAGCCGGGGTGGTTTCGAACACGTTGGGATGGTGCCTCTAATTGCTGTTGCCTGCTAGGCACGGCTCCCCGCTTGAGGCGCCATACCTTTATTAAGACACGAGCATGCCAGTGCTGAAGCTTGGACTCAAGTAGTTGCCTGACACTGGAAACAATATATCAATGTTTGTACAACTCGCATGTTTCATTGCCAGACTCAGCTTACCTCTTTGGGTGTGCTGCCTTTTGGATTTCCTGCATCTTCCCTTTTAACCTGGAAGCTATTTGCAGGGGGTCCACCAGTTTGGACCAGTCTTGTCTATTTGGGTAGTCAAAGTAGGGTACCTCCCCCGTTGTTCTCTGGGTTTCCTTTGGTTTCTCTTTTACACCAACCCAACAAAGGGTGCCCTCAAAACACACACCCAAATGTATATAAATATGCCTGTGGCTAAAACAACCGGCACCAAAATGGAACCCAGGTAAGTGGAAACATGGACCAACACCTGCGTAACCCCTCCTGTTTAATTTTGATCCACACCCATATGATGGCCCATATATATATATATGCACATTTGGAGTTTCGAGGTGAACTTTGAGGACTTCAAACGCGCAATGTCCTCGGTGCAGATGGCGAACTTCCTGGAGTCCATGTCCATCTCCACCGAGGCCATCCGAACGCGGGGGCCGTGCTGAACGCCTTTCTGCTTGGATGCTCAACCCACTGAGGTGACAAGCATCGTTATAAGGGGACGATCACTCCAGTTACCCCAGGAACCATGGTTATAGCCAACTTACCGTCCAAGCAATTCACGTGGAGCCTGATGTCCTGGAAGACCATGATCCTTTTGCAGGGACTGGGTCCCGAATGTCAGGTTCCATGTGAATTGGTGGGAGGGTACTAAGTCGCCTGAACACCCAAGTGCACACATAGCCGGATGGCAAGCGGGGGACTTTCTGGAAAGACCCAGGCTTTGTCGGAGGGAACTTTTTGACCTTCATCTGTTTTCCCCTTGCTTTGGAGGGATCTTAGTTTGGAGGAAAATTTGTCTATTTTCATGCGACAGTTAGAGGCCCGCCTCCGTGATTCTCTTCTCTCAGGTTGTCCTTCCCTCTTGTGCTGATAATTTCTCTTCTCATTACAATCCATCCAAACATGAGGGAGGTGTTTTCCCCAGAGGTCGGGGGTCAAAGACCTGCATTCTTGAGCAATGTTGTTTTTCCCCCGGTGGGCTTTTTGGTTGTTAAGTCACCAAGCGGAGTCCTCCTTGCAACATAGCCAATATGTTCTTGAGTTTTGCAAAAGGAAACCAAGAGGGGATTGTGGTGTTTGTTCATCTTTCCAGATCCCAAAAAGGTTGACCCCCCGTTCCCCTGGTTGGGCAAGTGAGGCCAGCTTGAGGATGGCTTGGCCCAACAAAACGATTTGCATTTTTGGCGGCCTCCATAGAATCCCTTGCGAATTTGCGTTCTTCGGGTTTTTAGACTGTTCGCAGCGAGCTCTTGGCAATTGGACCTGCACATGCATTCAGCGAAGTCTTCGCCCTGCGTTTCAAATGAGCTGACAAAAGCATATTCTGAAAGTCTGAAAGGAGTTGGGGAGTTGTACCGAATCCAAGGGCAGCAATCCATTTTCCGTTTGAATTCTTAGATTTCCTTGGGACTTGCTTCCGCAAAGAACCAGTTAAAACACTGTGCCGAGTAGTGTGGAATTGGAACAGCCGAGCCCAGTACGTATCACTTTCGCCTGATACCGGGACATGGTGGCACGTTGGTCGACTTTGGGTTAGCATGTTGAGAAACGTAGCAAGTTGATTCCTCCTTCCAACAGTCGTGGCAGTGGAGCGTGTCGGGTGTTGGAAGGCTACCGCTACCTCCTTGAAAAGGCTCCTTGTCCATTTATATGATTGTTGCGAAAAAGATCAACAACTGGCAATATGTTTGCTCCACTAAATTGTTTCATTGCAGCAGCCTGATGGTGCCAGCCTCGCGCATGTCGATGTGGTTGAGACCTAGCGGGAGTTTTGCCATGTCGCCAGGTACCAAACTCTAAAAACCCCCCGGTACATGCCAAGCAAGAGTTGTGTCATAACAAGGCCCCGCGTAAGCAAAAGCCTGCACGGCGTAAGCGGGCGTAAGCACTTTTTGGGGAAACATGTTGCGTAAGCACCTGCGTAAGCTCTTCTTCGTGATTGCTTGGTAAGCTTTGTAAGCATGCTCGGAAGAGTTGTCCCACATGTGCTTCTGCGTTTTTTGGTGGCTTGTGCTGTTGCAACCTAGTCGAGCTTGGCAACTTGCCCGGAGGACTTCGGCTGCAGGAAAACGTCTAAGACCGCATGTGCGCACCATTAGAAAAAATCAGCAGAACTTTGATTGGGAGCTCTTGGGGCTCATGCTAGGTTCTGTCGCAACCTCCACTAGGACAAACAAAGGCTTCAGTAGCCGCTGATTTAGGAAAACTACAGGGGCGCGGGCGCGTAAGCTCGCGTAAGCAGGCGCGTAAGGTTCGCGCAAGCTCGCCTAGCTCAGCTGCCCGCTAGCCCTCGTGATGGATGCCGCTACTGCAAAAACCTGTTTCTTGATTTGCAGCAAAAACAACAACGCCAAGCTGCTGAAGCTCGCGAGCGTAATTCTTCGTCATCTCTTCCACACAGTCATCCACATCATCTTCAACAGTTCTGGCGGCTGCACGGCAAAAGAAGCCCGCGTAAGCAATTCTTGAGGGGAAACGCTCAAAACGCCGACGCGTAAGCGATGCGTAAGCTCTACATGCTGTCTGACTGCCGCGTAAGCTAAAACATGGGTCGCGTAAGGAAAGCGCAAGCTTGCGCGTAAGCAACTTGATACGACATAGGGATTCATGGGAGGTTTATAGAGTCGCTCATGTGGGTCAGGCCGTGTTCTGCCGATTCACCAGGGTCTGATACAAATCAACATGGACTCCCCCGAAAGCATGTTGTGAGGAGACTCTTTGGGAAATTTGGGCTCCTTCCGTCGACTTGGGGGGCATTTTCTAATTTGTTGAGGTGTTCTTGTTTGTTGCCTCTCTCACATGGCATGGCATGGATGGTTTCCTCTCACGTAGCATGGCATGGATTTGAGGACATTGCAACCCTCTTCACCATCATGGACAATGACCAGAGCACCTTGGCCTCCCAAACCGCGGCAACAAAAAGGACAACATGTGGCTTTGGGTCTGTGGGTGGGCGGTTTTGAAGTGTACCATTTTCGCCTTGGTTTCAAGGCAAGCAGGAAAGCCGCCCAGTGGTACGTGGATATCCCGAAAGAGATGATGTCCGCCAGAGTCAGGGTCCAGCCACGTAAAGTTCACACCCATGTTGGGAGGAAGTGGCTCCAAGAATTCGGAAGACATTGGAAAACCATTTCAGTTGTGGTGTCTCTTCCATCGAATAGACGTGTTGGTGTCTTTGCCTTCCCGTCTCGAGGTGGGCTCATTGATCTCGAGGAGTTCGTTCAAGGCCGGGGACGAATTTGTTTAAACAGGTGCGCCCTGGCCCGATTCCCTTGGGGAACCAAAAGGAAGATGTTTAAAACATATGGGTGTGTCTTTTTTGCGCGGTGGGTTTTCAAGGGACACTAAAGGGAATCCCCGATGATGTTTGAGGTTCCCTATTTTGAGACATAGCCATACAAAGGTGTTTCAACAGTTAAAGCCCCATCCTGTTTAAATATTAGCTGGGTTTTTTAAAGGCAATCCTGAATCCTTACCTTCGGTTACCAAGGGTCCCTTTTGTACTGGCTTTCGTACAGGGGTTATGGAACATCTGATTGGCCAACCCTGCATTTTGAGCAGCCCAGGTTAGGCGTTTATCCCTTTTCCAGGGGTTCAGACCGCCCAGGCTGTATGCAGCTGCACGGTCCCGCTAAGAGCCTGCAACTGGCTCGCATGAGCTTCGAGAACAAGATCACCCGGCAGGCCCAACCAGCGGAGCGCCATGTTATTCCTGCGGAAAACCAGAGGGAAGCATCAGGATAAACCTGGGGACCATTTTTGTTCTGTGGTTTGAGGGGTAAAGTCAGAGGGGTAAAGTCAGAGGGGTACAGTCAGAAACTGGTTGGTTGTTTCATGTTGTTTCCCCTTAGCCTTCTTAGGAGGTGATCTCGATAATTGTAAAATAGTTGGGCCAGACATTCTAGAGGTAACAATCATGGCTACCTGCCATAGTCCGTTCATCAATGGAGCCAACAAAAACTGGAAATTAAAATAGGGACCCCCCCAGGACTGTTGTTCATTGGGGTTCCCTTCAAATGGGACTGGTGGTTTCACAAACCCGATAGATAGGGCACGAGGCAAGCCCCCTATGATGGTGTTGCCATTTTTCGGCAGCGGACACAAGGCATGCATTCACGGGTACCAGTAACAGCTGTCAGCGAGAAGTGTTCAGTTAAAAAGTTGTTGTGGCTACGCTCGGCGATCCGCATGCCAGCTGTCAAGGCCATCAAAGCAGTGGCTGCGGGGGTGAGCGCGATGCATGCGCAACTGTTCAAGATGACGATGCAGATGCAAGAGCTGCAAGAGCCTGTACTTGCCTTGTGAGGACGCTGATGCCAAAGCGCACTCTCTCCACAATTCGTACAAGTATATGATTGCATGTGTCTGTGCATGTGCCATTTACTTCCTCTTTCTTCCATTACGCCTGGCACACTCAATATTTTCCCTCGGCAGAGCCAGTAGCAATATACTGGCTTGTAATTACATGTCTTCCGTCAAATGACGAGGGCAGATTCGCCGAAAGATGCTCTATGCTTGGAAACGATTTAAAGCGATGCCCTAGAATGGGTTTGTGCTGATCGCATGCCGCTGAAAGGGTCTCCCCGCTTGGAGGCCGTGGGGGGAGAACGGTGACTCTGATTTGCCCCATGAAACGTTTGTAGAGATAGGGTGCCAACCCACCTAGGAAAAACACAGGTTCAGAAGTTCAGATCCGCAGGTCCTCATGATTAGTGCTTTCAGTTGCCTGGAATTTGAATGCTGCTCACCTGCCCCACCATGGCTCGTCGATCCTCACCAAAAGTGAAGCCCACGTTAAGTTGGAGCAAAAGGGGACAGTTAAAGATGGTGAAAGCCGCTAAATAACAGGAACATATAGGACATGCCGCTGAATCGCAACAAAATTCAATCTTGATCGATGGAGTGGTTCACCATCGTTGTGCGAAGTGTTGCGGCTAGTTTCCGGCTTTTGCAAGACACGCTCTTGCCAGCGCTTTGTCACCGGGATTCAACATGATGTGACCTAAGACCGCCTGGTCTGACTTCCGCCGGTTGATGTGACTTGAACCCTCGGCTTGTAGCAGCGAGATGTGTTTGGCGTGCATCCTAGCCCTCACAGGTGGGGAAGCAGACCTAGGTGTTAAAAGGGGTGACCCCAAAACTGGCCAAGTTTTTCTGTTGGTTTCCCTGTAAAGCAACCGGAACAGGGTACCAAGCAGCGACAAAAACAAGCTCAGCCATCAATTGGGCAGCTTTAGATTCTTTTATGCAGGGGGTGTTTTCCAGCGTGCAGAAAGGGATTTGAAGCTGCGAGCCACTTACAGCCTCGGCAAAAGGACTGAGGTCATAGCTGGGCAAGCCCAAGCAAAACAGACATGCTTTTTGTTGGGAGGAGTCCATGTCTTGTTTGGAGACAACCCTTTTTGGTGCAGGCCAAGTAGTCGTACGAAACACTTTCTAAAGACATGATTGTTTGCGTACCCCTGAGTTGGGGCAAGACGGCAAGCCAAATGTTCGTTGAATGGTTTTGCTGCACTCAAGGTCGTGGCAGATGGCTGAATATTTTTCACAGACCAACGAAGCAAGTCTGCCAAGGACTAAATTGTGTTTGCGTTGTCAGCGTGGTTGTTTGAGGGTACTCTTTTTCGTGTTAGTCACGTGGGAAGTAAGGACAAAAACCATGTCGCACTATTTTGACGCATAGCCGCGTAGCTGGCCATGACCTAGATCCTAGATGCATGTTTTGTTACATTGACTTGACATTTAGCCGCCGGCAACATTTTCTCTATCACGAGTTTGAGCTAACATCCGCACAAGCCATCTCAAAGTGACATCTTGCCATTCTGCGGCGGTATATCCCCACGAGTTGTGAGAGTATCACGTTCTCCAACGTGCCATCGAGCGCCAGTATGCCGTGGCTCGATAGTCGTTCGGGTCGGACCGGAATCAGCCTACCAATGCGCACATGCACGCATTGACCCTGGCAACAAGGCATAATGGTGTTGCTTTTCTTGCCACATTGTCATGGGAGCACACCTTTCACCTTTTCCTTTCCGCCAAACAGGATATAAGTTCCACATAGCTTTCCACTTACAACTCCCTAGAGCTGCCGCTTCCCCCTCAACTTCTACTACTGCTACGACCAGTACTACTACTACTACTACTACTACTACTACTACTACTACTACTACTACTACTGCCACCACACCACCACCACCACCACCACCACTATCACCACCCCCGCCGCTGCTGCCACCACCACCAGCATGACCACCACCACCACCTCCGCCGCCACCACCAACACCACCAGCGCCACTACCACCATCACAACTACTCTTCTTTTGGCCCCCTAGCCGCCTAGCCCTTTTTCCTTCGGGCTTGTCATCATGGCCATGACTCTTGTTTCCTGCGCGCTCCTGGTACCAGGCAAGCGATCTCTCGACGGCGTGAAACTTGCTGGTGTGCGGTGGAAAACCTCAGTGGTTGCCTTCAGACCACCATTAAGAGATACAACATGAAGTCTGAGCAGGAGGAAAACCGTGCAAGGCCCTGATTCTGCTGCCCAAGATAAACGATACCCCCAACAACAAACAAGGCAAACAACAAGGTGGGAAAACACACAAGGCACCCGAACAAGCCCCTTTATCCTCCAACAAAAAGGAAGATACTAACACTTGTTAGCTTGTTCCTTGTTCGCAGTCAAAACTCAATTTATTTGTTTAACCCTTTGGTTGTTTGCTTTTGGTCCGTTTTCACCCATAGCTAAAATTGTTAAGGACCTGGTTTGGGGTCCAGCTCTTTTGAACAACCGAGTAGACTTGTACCTGGCCATCCGAAATGGTTGGCGTGTACTGTAATACCAGCCTTTTTATGATGCTGCCAAAGCACGATGTTGGGTGTGGAGCCCCGAAAGGACTGGCACAAGGAAAACTGCCCCAAGCTGACCTGTCTATCTTGACAAAAGGACCAGGCAAAGCCTGTTTTTTGTTTGTTTGCCTGGAATGTGTTTTTGCTTTTCAGGACCTGTCATGCCCCTCCAAACTCCGAATGCTGGAAGAAGCTGTTGGTGTTGCAGAATGTAGGGCTGTTTGTTAACGGCTGGTTGGGTTGGTTACCTACAAAACCAGAGAAATGGAATCACTGGGTTAGAGAACCGGCTAAGTTCGTTTCAGGCCTGTCCTCAGAAACCGGGTGGCAGGAATGGGCTGTTTGCGCCAGCCATAGGTAGGGAATGGCCGTTCCTAGGATGGTATAGAGGTCAGTCCCTGATTCGTTGCTGAGAACCAGCGAGTACTATTGAAGACTACTCCTTCCTGACTCTCACTTTTCAGGGTATGTTCTGAATGCGCGGTGTTCATGGTCAATGTTTGCACTGTTCTGGTCAGGGGTCAACATCATGCGTAAACATAACGGGCATTTGGAGAAGGTCGTACATGCCCCACGGGGTTTGTGTCCACTCGCGGTTTTGTCTGAGTTGCGGCGCACTCGCCCACAATGCCATTTGCTCTGCTTTAGTACCGAGGCTTAAATGTGAAAGAGCAAACGCCTGGATTGCCAAAATTAGGAACCCTTTCCGTGTCCCCTTTAAACGTCAACTCCGGTGGCACAGAAAGAACCGGCGATACAGACAACCCCCGTGACGCTTATTTCACAGTTGCTAGCGGAGCATGGTAAGCGTCCCGAGTCCAGCGCGGACGTGCAAACTGGTATTTGTTTGGGATTGTGTCAAACAGGAGGGACCCCCAAAATGGGTGGTTTCCCTTTGGTTCCCTTTCAGCCAATCTCAAGAAGGGTACCCTCCAAAACGACACATCGATCTACTTGCGCTCTACACTCATTAGAATCTCGGCATGAGTAAATTGCTAGGATCACAGCAACGGGCATGATTATTAGTTTGCTCAAATTGATAGGGTGGGCATGGATGCGCCAAAGTTCCCATGGATTTTTGCGCGATTGGGGCCTCATACTCATGGACTGGGGGATAAATAATCTGGTCGGCTGTGTGTATTTCAGGAGACGAGCGGTCCCTTGCTCCTATGATGGGTATCCGAGGTGGGCACTTGTTTTGCTGGGCTCGGGTATTTAGATCTTCGGTTGAGCCTTTCATGTGAGCAGCTGACAAAAATGATTGGCAGTCCATTGTTTGTTTAGGGAGGACATGGGGGTCCAGCCGGGTTTTTCACCCAGATCAAGGGGCCCACCTTGAGAATCGCCCACCCTATTCACAATTCTAGCAAGCGGTTCTACTCCCTGTTTTATTGGGAATTCCTAGAAAAGCCTTAAGCCGTAAGCCTACACGAACAAGATGACAATGCTAGAACCTGGGCTTTGGGTGCTCAATTGTCCCATGTCGTGGTGAACAAAGTTGTGTCTTGGCTGGAACTGTTTGGGTGATTTTAAGGGAAACCAAATGGACGACATCCGGTTCTGGCAGTTTGTCCGTTGCCGCGCTCCAGGCTTCCCGGCGGCGCACGTGGCGGAGATTGGTTCCAAGCGCAGCCTGGATGGATGGGGTCAGAGGTTCGGCCAAAGTATCCGTAGATGAGGTGAGGGTCACCTGATGTCACTTGCAAATCAAGCCAGGCCAAGAATGCAAGGCGCATGGTTCTGGTTCTCTATGCGAGGTTCAGTCAAAGTATGCAGGCTGGTTCAGTTGGGAGGCTTGGAACCCATCCAGACCGCCAATCCAAGCCACCAAAGGGAAGTAAGCTGAGTTTGGTGCAAGATTTGTGCCAGCCCAACTTTCGTTTACCCGGGCAAATGCCGAGCTGAGCCACGGCCTTTGGGTTACATGCTGAATTGACACCTGCTTTTGATTCTGGTGGCTAGTGCTACAGGCTTTGTTTGATTGTGGTTATTACTTGGTTCTATATCCGACTGTACTGCGTAGAGGCCGTATATCTCATGAATCTTTTGGGGGTAGTGGTTCGGGGGTAACAACAATCTTGGAGTCATAGTGCTCATACTACAGGTTTTGATTGATTGTCCCAGTCAATCCAAGCTACCCCAGGCAGTATGTAGCCCTTCGCCATTCTTGGTGCCCTTGGCTACCTCTCATTACAAGTAAATGGAACCACTGGGTGTTGTTCTTGTCTGCTTGTGATTCCAGGTTGGCTGTCGAAACAAGCAAGAAGGTGCGGACATCCCTCGTCTTCAATTCTGTAAATGCCTCTAGGTACACACTCCCTGAGTTCCTGGCCTTTAAATTCTCGGGAATACCCATGTTAATGGTAAATCCTGAGTTCCTCTCTTCTTGATTCTGACTCAGTGTGATCCAGGCAATAGCGCCTTCAAGCTGCTCTCAAAGCTGCGCACTCGCCAGGGCCGACGTGCCTTGAGAAATGGGTGTGGAATAGAAACCTATGGTTAGGTTTGAGGGGAAATCGACATGAGAACCGCAATTGGTTGGGTTTTCAAATTTTCACGCAAACTAATTTTTGTTGGGTTGTTTCGTGGCAGGAGGTCCTTTTTTTGGCCACGAGTTTGAAGTCGATGATGAATGATAATAATATGATACCCTCAAAAATGGTAGTTGGTTTGGAATCCAATTGGACACCATGTTTGCCACAGGATCCCCCGTTGAGATTCATACCTATATGAGCCCGTTCTGGGATGATGCTAGTACCCTTGAGGCCCATCTTCATTGAGTGAAACTGTAAATGGAGGGATAGTTGATCTTCTGAAAGTAGACGGTGCCCCACTAAAGAATGAGCATGGACACTGATTTAGCACTTGCAATGCCTCGATTTTACTTCGAAACAAAGAACAGTATCAGCTAGGGGGTCCGTTGAGCTGGTTTGTGGCTTCGTCTCATCGCTTGGGCTTTGCTACGGTCTGGATTTGTCTCAAGAGTCCCAGGAAGTAGGGAATTCCAAGATGGGTGTTTTCCCCTCGATTTTCCGACAACGCAATCGCGGAAAGGCAACCCTGAATGACAAACCCACACGGGTTTAGAGTGTATAGAAAGGGACAAGCTATGTATCTCGCTGAGAGCCTGCCCTGGCCCACTACTTATACAACTTGGATTGTTTCACTCATCATTGCCTGACTCATTTCACCTGTTTGCCCTGGTGCCCTGCTGCCCTTTTGGTTTTCCTCTATGTTCCCTTTAAACCAGCAACCAGGTAAACTCCGGCAGTCATGCTACCGGCCAATTCTATGTGGAAGGCAACAGCTTAAACTTTTTCAGCAGGCCAACATCTTTGTCAGCTGCACTTAGCGATTGGAAAGGGAACTCAGGGTGAGACATTCAAACAGCCATAACAGGGTTGTTCCCACAGGTGTCCTTTCAATCGGTTTGCTGAAAAACAGTTGGGTTCCACTGGTTTAGATTGGTTTTATGAGCCATTTACCCCCCAAAAATATGCTTCCAACATGCCACCAGTGGTTGCTTCCAGATGAGGTTGAGATGGTACTCCAAAAACGATTTCCCCGGAAAACAAGGACGCTCCAGTATGATATTGAGGCACCAATCTTCCAAGCCAGGGGCCGACTGAGCGAGCGTATGATCTTACTCAAGGCGGGTTCGATTTCCTCCGGCAGGTATGGAACCGCAAAGAACCCAAACGTCTTGGTATTCTTTCCAAATGCGGCAAAAGGATCAGGCGCTGCCAGACTTCTCCTTGCAGGTTCGCCCTTTCGTTTTGTTTCTTCTGCATTTTCCTCCCTTTTGGCCATCGGGCCATCATGCTGAGGGAGGCGGTCCACGAAAGTCTTTTTGCCAAGCGACCAACGCAGCTAGCGCCGCTCTGAGGCAAGCTGGGCCGCTTCTTTGCCGAGGGCGAGACCTTTCTCCGAATGCGGCCGCGGGGGGTCTTCGTTCGGAAGAGCCGGTGGAAGCAGGAGGCGACCCGACGGCCCCAGAATCTTTCAGAAGCCTCCAGTCAGCTTCCATGCGGGTCGCTTCCAGTGGCTCTCTTGCGTGTTTCCCTCTTTCCCCTTTTTGTCCTTTTTGTTTGGTGGCTGACCAACCAAAAAGGTGTCCGATTCCCTTCCACTTTTTTTGGCCGTGCAAATCGCAAGTGATAAAAGCGCAAGCACAAATTTTCCCGCTGAAGAACTTCCGTCAGGGGCTGGCGCAGATCCGGCAGCAAGTGCTGGAGGGAGCGGAAGCGCCTGAAGCGCCCGCTGCTAGGCCCCTGGGCATTGGCGCTGAGGTTGGGTGATGGGTAGCTTCACTTGGGGAAAAATCAGGATCTGTCTATTTGTCCGGGACACCAAGGATTGCCCCTTGAGTGGAAGCCCAAAGACGGTAGGTGAAGCAGTGGTTGAAGCATCTTTGAACAAGAGAGTCATACGTTTGATCCAGGATTATGAATTAAACTTAATAGTGTTCCACACCCCTAGCCCGCAGCCACTGCGAACCACCCCCCAATCTTTCCGGTTGGAGAAACCTGGATTTGATCTGTCCTGGGTGAACCCAGGGGCTGCACAGGAATAGAAGGGGGTGCCTGCATTTTCCCAAGGCCTCCAAATCAAGTCGCTTTTGGGTGGCTTGGATTGGCGCTTTCGGATTTGAACTGGATCTTGTGGGTAAATGGGAAATCACCCCGGATCATCTCCAAATCCAAGCCACCAATTGGAGGGAAGCTGGCAAAAGGTAAGCTTTGTGTCATAGGCTCTTGGTGTCTTTTGCCAGAATTCAAGGGGAGTGTCCAAGCGGGACGTTTGAAACAAAGCACATTGCAAGGGGCCGTGCGATTGCGGCAATATGTTCAGGTGTTCCCTTCGAACTTCTTAGTAGGTAACCATGGTAAGGGGACGATCACCCTAAGCACGATTATAACCTACCTAAGTTGCTTGAACACCGAACTCCGACTTTCTCAAGGACGAGGTGGGACCACGTCCAATTCCTTGCCAAGTCTCCAACATTCAGTCACACATGTTCCAACTTGTTCTTCGGTTCCCCACAAAAAAGGCAACCATAAACCTCCCCCAAAAGACGACCACAATATGAATTCCGCGGTGAAAAGGGAAGCCGCCTTTGATAAATCTGAAGGGTTCATTGCTCCGAAGTGCACATGAGCGTTCTCAAAAAGTTGGGCCCCTTTTTGGGTGGTTTCCGAGGGAAACCACAAATCACCCCATGTCCAATGCCCATATGTTGAGCGACACCCATATGCCAATGCCAAAGGTTGATCCCCACTGTTCCCACTCATCGTTCCTTCGCGCAACGTGTTTCCTTTGTTTTGAGGAGGTTTTGAGATTTATTTTCTGGAAAGGTTTGGATCCCTGCATTCCAAATTCCAAAGGTTGGGAAGTAGAGCTCGACAAAGTGCAATGAACCACGTGACCCAGATCATCCCTGATGTGCTGCTGCCCGGATCAAACTCAGCCAGGGGTTATCAACCAACTGGCTTCCCACTATTCTGGGCGAATCACAATGGTTTACGTAGGGGAGCCAAGAAAGGCATCTTAGTGCGCAAAGTACCCTGCCGCAGATTCACATAGCACTTCAATACATCACATGATTTGGAGGACTGTTGCGGGTGGAAGCCAGGCAACCAACAGACCGAGCAAACGGACTACGCTAGGACCTGTTTTATAGGGGACTGGGTGAGGGATGGGGAAAACATGGTTTAGACTGCCATACCCTGCCCCGCTGCAAATAAACCAACACACACAGTTTAAACAATACGGTTTTAAACCTGCAAACACAAGTTGGCCCAACCCGGGGTGCTAACTCTTTTTTAGCAAGTCACGGTGTTTCCTTTTGTTGCGGCCCCCTTTCTGAGTTATTCCCTCGCTTTAGGGGCAGGCGGTGAACCCAAACAAACCAACCCAGCCCACCCACCAGTCAGAAAACCCACCAATGTACAATCCGAGCAACCTGCCGAAAAACCGAACGGACCATGGCCTCGAATTCCCATTTTCACCGCGGACCGGAGAGCCACCTGCCAGGCCGCTCTTCTGGGGCGGCGGCGTGCCGGAAGACGACGGCGCCGCAGCAAGGCAGGCCAGCTACGCGGTGCTGGAGAACGAGCTCTTCGATCAAATCTCCACTCAGGCTCGGGACCCCCCCCCCCGGCCGATTCCTCGTTCCCCTTCAAAGCCATCCCAGCAGGGGCGGGACAAGAGGGATTTGCACCCCAAACAAGTGTGTCTGGGGGGAAATTCGGGCTTTCGGGTGTTGTTGTTTTTTTCTCCCCCGCAGGTATCCTTTGTAAAGGAAACCGATTGGAGAACCACTTTTGGGTATGTGTAACCCAGCTGATTGAAACCCCAAAATGGGGTGCCTCAAAGGGGATGCCTCAGGGCCTAAGCCCATTTGGTCAAAGGGTCGGTGGTACCTGTTGTCCTTTTTTGTTTCGCTCGGGTGTCTTTGCTGTTTAACTTGTTCACTATTTAAATGTTTGTCATGTCTCTTGGTTTCTTTGCGTGCGTTTGTCTGTGTGACTGCGTGTCAGCCTGCCTGCCTGCTGTGTGTTTCCTGTGTATGCTCAATTGAATTGTTGGTGCTTGCTTGCTAGCCTGCTTGTTAGCCTGCCTGCCTGCGTGCTTGCTTGCGTGCTTGATTGCTTGCTTGGCTTTCAACCTGCCTCCTTGCTTGTTTGCTTGCTTGCTTGCTTGCTTTCTCGCTTTCTCGCTTGATTCTTTGCGTAGCACGCATGTGTGTGTGTGTGTGTGTGTTGTGTATATGTATGTATGTATGTTTGCTTGTTGCGCATGATTGTGTGAGCGTCTTTGTTTATGTGCGTGTTTCTTTGTTTTGTTGTTGGTTCTTGTTGCTTGCTGCTGCTGCTGCTGCTGCTGCTGCTGTTGTGGTTATGGTTATGGTTATGGTTATGGTTCTGGTTATGGTTCTGGTTCTGGCTCTGGTTCTGGTTGTTGTTGTTGCTGTTGTTTGTGGTTGTTGTTTGTTGTCGTGTTGTTGTTGTTGTTGTTGTTGTTGTTGTTGTTGTTGTTGTTGTTGTTGTTGTTGTTGTTGTTGTTGTTGTTGTTGTTGTTGTTGTTGTTGTTGTTGTTGTTGTTGTTGTTGTTGTTGTTGTTGTTGTTGTTGTTGTTGTTGTTGTTGTTGTTGTTGTTGTTGTTGTTGTTGTTGTTGTTGTTGTTGTTGTTGTTGTTGTTGTTGTTGTTGTTGTTGTTGTTGTTGTTGTTGTTGTTGTTGTTGTTGTTGTTGTTGTTGTTGTTGTTGTTGTTGTTGTTGTTGTTGTTGTTGTTGTTGTTGTTGTTGTTGTTGTTGTTGTTGTTGTTGTTGTTGTTGTTGTTGTTGTTGTTGTTGTTGTTGTTGTTGTTGTTGTTGTTGTTGTTGTTGTTGTTGTTGTTGTTGTTGTTGTTGTTGTTGTCGTTGTCGTTGCTGTTGCTGTTGTTGTTGTTGTTGTTGTTGTCGTCGTTGTCGTTGTCGTTGTCGTTGTTTTTGTTGTTGTTGTTGTTGTTGTGGTTTGTGTTATGGTTATTGTTCTTGTTCTTGTTTTTGTTCTTGTTGTTGTTGCTGTTGTTGTTGTTGTTGTTGTTGTTGTTGTTGTTGTTGTTGTTGTTGTTGTTGTTGTTGTTGTTGTTGTTGTTGTTGTTGCTGTTGTTGTTGTGGTCGTCGTCATCGTCGTCGTCGATGTTGTTTGTGTTATTGTTATTGTTCTTATTCTTGTTCTTGTTCTTGTTGTTCGTTGTTCTTGTTGTTGTTCTTGTGCTTGTGCTTGTTCTTGGGCTTGCGCTTGTGCTTGTGCTTGTTTGTTTGTTTGTCTGTCTGTTTTTCTTTCTGTTTGTTTGTGTGTTAGTTTTTAGTTGTTTGCTTGCTTGCTTGCTTTCTTGTGCCGCGACTGTGGCTTGACAAGGCGAGCAACTTGCACCTGGCTCCCAGGAGAAGTCACAGGGAGTGCTGTGCGTCTTCGGCATGCCGTTGGACACGGCTCTTTGATCGCATTCAGGGCTCCTTATTTGGCTGCGTCTGACCCCCAACATGATGGTTTTCCTTTCTGAAGCCGCCCCAATTGTTTGCAGCGGGACTGTTTGCTGCAAACTGCGTCTCTCCAAAGCAACTGCAGAGTGCCATGGGAGGACGCAGCATTTGCGCATCCCCAGGTTGAAAATGAAATGGGAGCGGACTGAGAAGTGGAATTGCGTGACCCCAGATGCTCGCTCTGTATGATCCAAGGCTGTGAGCAAGGTGACGAGCTCAAATGTGGTGGTGCTGGATGGCGTCGCTTGACAAAAGGTCAGCGGTCATTGGAGCGGCGTGGTGTAAGCCACAGCCAACTCCGAGTAAGTGGAGCAAGTGGAGCTCTGTGTTTTTTTTTCAGGTACCAAGTGGACCCCTTCGAAGGGAAGCCCGAGGTGGAAACCAGTGATTTTGCTGGGCCCTGTTTGAGACATAGGTGAAGGTTGGTGACAGTCCCAACCTTCAGGTGCGGATACCGCCTTGATTCTCATGGGATCAGGTCAACCCCTTTAGCACCGGGTTTGGGCTGCGACTTCTGTGCTGTGGTAGTTACGCTTGATTCCTGAAATACAACACAAGTGGGGATTGAGGAAATCCATCGAACTCATTACATGTTTGGTTTGTTTACTTACCATCCTTTGGAAATCGATCGTAGATATACTTGAATGGGTGCCAATAACGCAGGCAACTTCCAGTTGCAATTGTTTGTGTGTGTGTGATCTGAACATTCAATGTGCAGAGTATGCAGGGGAAATGACATGACATGCTTTTACTTGAGATGGATTGAGATTTCTGCAATGTGACAGAAACACAAGTTAAGTCATTAGCGCCTTCCTCCAATTGCCTCCTGCTTTGTTGGTCATGTCTCGTGCTCAGAATATGTTCATCAGCACAGGTTGAACGAAAAGTGATTCTGGGGACCCAAGGATGAACCTGTTGCTCTGAACCCTTTCGCCTACGGAGAGTTTGCCATGAATCACAGCAAAGTGCCAATATGGCTAAGGTTGCAAGATCGGTACACACATATGCCCCAGACAAAAATTAGGTCTGCACACCCCGAAGCTGGGAAACCTTGCACAATCCTTAAAGAACTCTGGTACACGTGGTCACGTGCCCTTAAAAGTGCCCGTTCTTGAAGCAGAAGACAGAGCTTCCCCAAAGCTTTTGGACCGGCTTGCTTCAGATAGGACCCCTTGAAACGTGGCGTGAAATCCAATTCGGGTATCGGGATGATGCGGATCGTGGGATTGTTAGGCGCAAAATGTGTGAACCGCCAGGTTTCATGGAAAAATTGGGGACACGCCCAGGAACTGAGGATTCCATCAGCTCAGCTCAGGTGGAAGACCCCAACAACCTGGGAGTCATCCTTCGAACCATGGAGGCCTTTGGCTCCAGGCGAGGGAATTCCGGCGGCCCAAGTGGCCTTTGGTTCAGTTGGGTGAGAGAGAGGTAAGGGTTTGCGCGAAGATCGCTTTTTCCGGGGGAGAAAAACGCATTCACCCCATAAATTTTGAATCTTTGCAGGCCGGAGGAGTCCAATTTTTAGGAACAGATTACCCGCCAGTGAAGGCTTAGATCCTGTTCCCCATATGGATGTGTTTGTTTGGAGGGAACACAACAGCCCGGGTTTTTTCACAGGGACCCATGTGGAAGATACCCATCGCCCATTGGTTCTCTCATATCCCCAAGCTTGACAGGAAGGCCCAAAAGGGCCATATCCCCGAATCCAAGGCGACTTCTATGGAAGAGGACCACAGTTTTGCCATTGGGGATGCATCGGAAGGAAAATACAGTGCCGAGGGAGGACCAAAAGACAGAGTAATGATGGCGTAAAAAGATTGAGAAGACCTAAGAAGAGATTTGCAAAATATGAATACTGTGATTGCACATGTCTTACCTGTTGGCTCTCATTAGAATTTAATGTCCTCGAGTTTTCATGCGTTTGTATGAGAATAATGATAAAGCATATAAAAAGAGGAAAGACATGACATGGAATGTAATTCCTCATCACTCTGCCTACCTTTATCCCTCTTCGCTCGTTTGGACATGTTCTCTGTGTAGACTTGGGTCGTTTGGAGGTTCACGAAAGACAGCCAAGGGGAAGCGCGGTGGCTACATAGCTAGACTATAGGCAGGCAGGTAGATGGCAGACAGGAGTGCAGGCAGGCAGGAAAGTAGGCAGGCAGGCCTTGTTTTCAAGAGAGATTGGACAGAGAGGGTGTTTCGGGCATGCTTTGATGGGAAGGAAGCGAGGAAGCAAGCAATGTGAACCATGTTGTGAAATGCCTATTGGACGGGTTGCAGATGCAACTGGCTTACCTTAAGGATCCCTCGAAAGCAAGCTTTTCTGAGGACCCGAGGGCGCCGCCCCCTTTCTGTCGGCAAGGATGTGGAACCCAAAATGGGGAAACAGAGGCTCAAAAAGGATACCGCTCACCAATACAATCCCTGTCTCACTCCCTGAGTTCACGGACTTATACTTTTTGGGAAGACGTATTTTAGTGGTAAATCAAAAGCTCAGACTTGTTTGGCCAGTCCACTGGGGAGAGTAGTGGAACCGGCAGGACATTGCTGGTCACCAAGGGCACTGTGGACGTCTTCAATCCCAAAGTGGTGCGCTGCTCTATGGGCGCAGCGGTCCGCGGCCGCGTGGATGTCGCAGAGGCGAGCCGTGGATTTGTCGAAATGGTGTGGTGCCCCACAGGTTTGCATTTGAATCTCACATTGTGCGTAGATGTTTATACTTTAATGTAGGCACAGTATAACAGGCTCACCTGGCGGTAAAAGGCCCATCATGAAGATGAACATCCCTTACACACGGTGTTCCTATTTCTGGACTGTGAACTACAGTACTTTGCCTAGCATGCCTACACACTGTGCATCCATGTGTACATATGAGCCACGGACAAAACACGCGTAGACCACTTTATCAAGACGGGGCACGCTTTTGAGTAACACATCCCAAAACCATGGAAAACGATGAGGTCTCCCCCAAAAACGATGACCCTTAACGAACACACGGCTCTGTAAATACGACACTTGTACTGAGAAGTTGCGATTTTCGAGCTGGAGATGCGGAAGTGTACTTCGCGTACAGCCTAGGCTTGTACTACAAAGCTGCGATTTTCGAGCTGGAGCTGCGGAAGTGTTCTTCGCGTACTAGACTTGTACTACAAAGTTGCGAATTTCGAGCTGGAGCTGCGGAAGTGTACTTCGCGTACTAGACTTGTACTACAAAGTTGCGATTTTCGAGCTGCAGAGGCGGAAGTGTACTTCGCGTACTAGACTTGCACTACAAAGTTGCGATTTTCGAGCTGGAGATGCGGAAGTGTACTTCGCTTACTAGACTTGTACTACAAAGTTGCGATTTTCGAGCTGGAGCTGCGGAAGTGTTCTTCGCGTACTAGACTTGTACTGCAAAGTTGCGACTTTCGAGCTGGAGCTGCGGAAGTGTACTTCGCGTACTAGACTTGTACTACAAAGTTACGATTTTCGAGCTGAAGATGCGGAAGTGTACTTCGTGTACTAGACTTGTACTACAAAGTTGCGATTTTCGAGCTGGAGATGCGGAAGTGTACTTCGCGTACTAGACTTGTACTTACAAAGTTGCGATTTTCGAGCTGGAGATGCGGAAGTGTACTTCGCGTACTAGACTTGTACTACAAAGTTGCGATTTTCGAGCTGGAGCTACTAGACTTGTACTACAAAGTTGCGATTTTCGAGCTGGAGATGCGGAAGTGTACTTCGCGTACTAGACTTGTACTACAAAGTTGCGATTTTCGAGCTGGAGATGCGGAAGTGTACTTCGCGTACTAGACTTGTACTACAAAGTTGCGATTTTCGAGCTGGAGCTGCGGAAGTGTACTTCGCGTACTAGACTTGTACTACAAAGTTGCGATTTTCGAGCTGGAAGATGCGGAAGTGTACTTCGCGTACTAGACTTGTACTACAAAGTTGCGATTTTCGAGCTGGAGCTGCGGAAGTGTACTTCGCGTACTAGACTTGTACTACAAAGTTGCGATTTTCGAGCTGGAGATGCGGAAGTGTACTTCGCGTACTAGACTTGTACTACAAAGTTGCGATTTTCGAGCTGGAGCTGCGGAAGTGTACTTCGCGTACTAGACTTGTACTACAAAGTTGCGATTTTCGAGCTGGAGCTGCGGAAGTGTACTTCGCGTACTAGACTTGTACTACAAAGTTGCGATTTTCGAGCTGGAGCTGCGGAAGTGTACTTCGCGTACTAGACTTGTACTACAAAGTTGCGATTTTCGAGCTGGAGATGCGGAAGTGTACTTCGCGTACTAGACTTGTACTACAAAGTTGCGATTTTCGAGCTGGAGATGCGGAAGTGTACTTCGCGTACTAGACTTGTACTACAAAGTTGCGATTTTCGAGCTGGAGCTGCGGAAGTGTACTTCGCGTACTAGACTTGTACTACAAAGTTACGATTTTCGAGCTGAAGATGCGGAAGTGTACTTCGCGTACTAGACTTGTACTACAAAGTTGCGAATTTCGAGCTGGAGATGCGGAAGTGTACTTCGCGTACTAGACTTGTACTACAAAGTTGCGATTTTCGAGCTGGAGCTGCGGAAGTGTACTTCGCGTACTAGACTTGTACTACAAAGTTGCGATTTTCGAGCTGGAGCTGCGGAAGTGACTTGTACTACTACAAAGTTGCGATTTTCGAGCTGGAGCTGCGGAAGTGTACTTCGCGTACTAGACTTGTACTACAAAGTTGCGATTTTCGAGCTGGAGCTGCGGAAGTGTACTTCGCGTACTAGACTTGTACTACAAAGTTACGATTTTCGAGCTGAAGATGCGGAAGTGTACTTCGTGTACTAGACTTGTACTACAAAGTTGCGATGATCGAGCTGGAGATGCGGAAGTGTACTTCGCGTACTAGACTTGTACTACAAAGTTGCGATTTTCGAGCTGGAGATGCGGAAGTGTACTTCGCGTACTAGACTTGTACTACAAAGTTGCGATTTTCGAGCTGGAGATGCGGAAGTGTACTTCGCGTACTAGACTTGTACTACAAAGTTGCGATTTTCGAGCTGGAGCTGCGGAAGTGTACTTCGCGTACTAGACTTGTACTACAAAGTTGCGATTTTCGAGCTGGAGATGCGGAAGTGTACTTCGCGTACTAGACTTGTACTACAAAGTTGCGATTTTCGAGCTGGAGATGCGGAAGTGTACTTCGCGTACTAGACTTGTACTACAAAGTTGCGATTTTCGAGCTGGAGCTGCGGAAGTGTACTTCGCGTACTAGACTTGTACTACAAAGTTGCGATTTTCGAGCTGGAGCTGCGGAAGTGTACTTCGCGTACTAGACTTGTACTACAAAGTTGCGATTTTCGAGCTGCAGATGCGGAAGTGTACTTCGCGTACTAGACTTGTACTACGAAGTTGCGATTTTCGAGCTGGAGCTGCGGAAGTGTACTTCGCGTACTAGACTTGCACGACAAAGTTGTGATTTTTGAGCTGGAGATGCGGAAGTGTACTTCGCGTACTAGACTTGTACTGCACAGTTGCGATTTTCGAGCTGGAGATGCGGAAGTGTACTTCGCGTATTAGACTTGTACTGCCTGCCAAGTTTCGCTTTTCGAGCTGGAGCTGCGGAATTGTATTTCGCAATTTTCGGGCTGGAGCTGCGGAAGTGTACTTCGCGTACTAGACTTGTACTACAAAGTTGCGAATTTCGAGCTGGAGCTGCGGAAGTGTACTTCGCGTACTAGACTTGTGCTAGAAAGTTGCGATTTTGGAGCCGGATCTGCCAAAGTTCGAAAACACTGTAAAACGATGAGGTCTCCCCCAAAAACGATGACGTTAAAAAAAGTACTAAGGCCAAGTAAAGGGTTTCGTCCGCTCCTCATATACAGAATTTGCGATGTGTCCCGCAAAGGTTCCAAAGTCAACATCAGGAAGTGCGGTCCATCCTTTTGCTCGCCTGGCATGGCTACGCTGGAGTGCCCCCGTTGAATGCCTGATTCTCCGGATTTTGAGTTGCGCAAATTCATGTTTTTTCAACCTGCACAATCATTGGCATGTTTGTTCACGTCCATCACAAATCAGTTGTTTTGCCCTAAGCCTGGCTGTAGTAGAACGTGCGAAGACTATGATGGACGCGGCACCTGAGGTTTGCTTAGTGTCTCCTGAGGTTTGGTTTGGTGCTTTCTGGGACGCTATACTGTGGCCCCTGTTCGAATGGCACACCAACAATACAGGGGCTCTACCTCGATCTTCATACACGTCTTTGTGGGAAGAAGGGACATCTTGTGTGGAGGGCAGCCCCACGTTTCTCCGATTAAGTATTCGGCTGGTGGAATGGATTTGCACGCCACAGCTCTAGGTTGGTGAGTATCTTTTTGGGTTCCCTATCTCACTTGTTCAGTCAGTTGCCAGGTGTGAGATTGTTAGAGGCCGAAGAAGCTTAGGTTGGTGGACATAAATCGCCCATGTAAGCTATGTCCACGAAAAGGTCCGACCAAATCGAACTCATGTACATGTTTTTGTGGTTTTTTGCTGAAAGGAATTCAAAGGGATGGAGACCCTCCCACCCACCCCTTCCTACTTACAGGGTGGCGAACGATGGCACACCGCTGTTATCTGGGTGTTATCGTCCTCTTCACTCTGGAGTAATCTTATATTCTGTCAAACACAAAGCCAGTTGCCGTCTTATCCACTCCTTCCCACCTCGAATTCATGAGGTCTTGGCCTCTGAGTTGCGGCCGATGCTGCGGGGCTACCGCCTCTTCTCCACTCGCCTGGATGCTTGGCAGTTCCCAGGCTTTTTTTTGTATTTGGGGGTTTGGAGTTGGATTCTTCTAGCTTAGACTGTGACAATTGTTTCAATGTCGAAACCTGAAATCAACTTGAATTTTGGGGGAAATCTTCCTCGATCTCCCCTTTTGGAACCTCCCAAAGTGTCAGTTTCAATTGAAATCACCAGTAAATGGATTTCCGCTTGGGAAATTCAGTGGTAATCATCAGGAAATCCAGTAAATTTCTGCGGAAATCCTTTGAACATTTGCCATCCTCGGATCGGTTCAATGGCAAATCACCGGGAAATCCAACGACTCCGACCGATCTCAGGATGGATCTCTGCCGTCCACGCGGCTCCAGGAGCGCCTCACCGGGCGCGACGCCTTCCTGCGCCTCGGGTCTCGGATGGCGAGCGGCTGAAGGGAACCAGCCCTAGGCTAGGAACGGAAGCAAGGTGTGCCCCCCCCTTCAATGAGCAAAACAGACGGGAAGGCTCCATGTTTGTTAGACGGGTTGGGGTTTCAAGTTGGTGTCGTGCGATTCGCGGGTGGTTCAGGCTCTTCTTTTTTGTGCTGAAGTTCAGTCTCTCGGTGTTTCCTCGAGTGCTTTGTTTGGCCAAATCCCGAACCTCCAGAAATGTGTTGTGTTGTCATGTTTTTTTCTATCCACTTTTCTCATCTCATACCCCCCTCCAACGCAATCGCTCCCCTTGGTTTCCCGACAACCGTAACTTTGGGTCTTTGAGAAACAGGGGGGTCAGGGGAGGCGGCCCTGGCGGGTAGACCCATGTTCCACACCTTTGTTGAAAATGCCATAGGCCTTGGGAGTCCAGGTTGAAAAGGAAGTGAGGAACACGACAAGTTTGGTTGGGTCCTTCTCAAAATTCATGCGACAGCCCTTTTTCAGCCCCTCAAGGGCCTTTGACTTTATGCCGCGTAAAACCCACGAAAAAGTGATTCGCTACTGGTTGCGGAATTCAATACGCCCCTCTTCGCCACTCCTTTTGCGCTTGGCCCATTCCTCAGACAAACAAACTTCAAGCAGGACTGGGCAGAAGCAGATGGGCATGTTTTCAAAAGCTAACATTTAGACATGCGGGCTACATCAGAAACCTACAACATGGCTGTCCCGTAAGGTTTCAATTTAGACCAGGTTGCCCCGTTAACCTGGTTCTGTAGATGGGCACTGGTTTGTGTCAAAATAGGCAGTTCCTAAATTTCCCTTTAAACCCACCTCAAGAAGGGAAGCCTCAACGACCAAAACACACCCAAATTCAACCAGTTCATAGTTCATTTTGCCGGGAATCCCCGCATCGCTTCCCACTTGTTCGTATTTTCCGTATCCCAGGTTTGGCCATGAGGCTCGGGGCTTGTCGCGAGAGCTGCTGGATCTGGCGGATGAGCTGCTTTATCCAATAAGCGGCGGGGGCGGGAGGGGGGATGCTCAGCTAACCCTTTCTCCCGTTCAGATTGGCATGGAACCCACAAAAACATCGTTTCTAGAGGAATCTCCTTTTGGGGGACCCCGATTGGTGGTTTTGATTCGGATATGAAGCCCGGGTTCTTGTGAATGGAAACCAGCCCCGGAACAACCTCCAAACCAATCAGAGGGAAGCTTAAATGTGGCAGCTTTGCCAAGTCAGCCAGTAGATGTGTGGTGCTTACAAGACTGTATGGCTGTTTGGTTGGATCTTTGGACTTTAACTTTTTGGGAAGCAGTGAATTTTCCATTGGACCGACAAAAAGTTAAACTATTGCAGAGGGGTCACCAGCAACCAAGATTGATGTCCACGCTCTTTGGTTTCCCTTACCCGGTCAAATGTCTACATCCTTGTGCCAGTGTCTTCGGAGAAACTTAGATCACTCAAACCGGTTTGGATTTGTGTTGCTCAACTCGGGGTGCCGGCCGTGTCTGCAAACTAAGGACTCCTTGTGGGTGGTTTCAATGAGAGCCCAAAACTCTCGTTGGCCCACTTTAGTAGTTGGGTCTGCTATCCGGCTTCATATCGGGTTGTAGCATGGCCCATATGAACCTTTGTAACTGTGTCATAAGAGGGCACTGCTCAGATGGAACGCAACATGAAATCAACCAGTTGGGGAGGTCCCCAACTTTGATCCCCAAAACAGTTTCTGAGACCAATTTTTTTGAAGGCGTTGCTTTCTTGAGCTAGAGACTACAAAGCCTTGAACGGGTTGTTTGTCCCCCACCGCCCGCCGACCAACTCGGATTTGAAACGGCCATGAAAACAGTGTTCCAAAGAGAAGTAGCCGTCAGTCACACTTCGCTGACCCTGCTTGGGACGTGATTTGGGTGGTTGTTCGCAAGGGAATCTACTTATGTCAGGGTTCCTTAAGGGATCTGCAAGCCCACATTAGGCTGAACAATAGACATGAACCCTAACAATGTTCATACATTTAGGACCAATATCCTTTGCAGGAACCCTATGTTGCGGTTCAACTCATGTTTTTCGTTTGTGTTTTTATGGGGAGGGGTTCTGCCCGTGTTCATTTGCCCAAGGCACGTTCGCATTCCAATGTCTCCACATGTGGACTCTCTGAATGTGGGCGTTGCGGTGGGCGTGCTGCTGCATTCCACACTGAAAGGCGTGCTTGGTGCGTCCGATGGGCTGTGTCGACCTGGGATGTTTTTTTCACATTCTCCGTTTCCATGCTTTAGACTTGCTCGGTTTCTTTGTCATTAGGCTCAAACAGTGCCACTTCGTCTAGGTCAACGCTGGTCAGCTTTTGGTTCTTGGGTCCCGGAAAGGGTCACCCGTTGCTGTCTTCGGCATACTTGTCCAGTGTCGTTTTTTTGTTTGGTTCATGTTTAGCTGGAGCCTCGAAAAAACCATGTGGGTGTGTCTTTTATAGGGGACCCTCCGAAATTGTGGGTTTTCTCTATTTGCTTTCGCTTTGAAACCCAACCAAACACCAGGTACCGTCAAAACAGACCGAACATGACAGACCCATGTTTTGTTGCTGACGCATCGGGCTGAGAAGATGGGTTGTCCTGGCATGTCATTTCCTGTCCTGTTGGTTGTTTGTGCTGTTTGTTTGTCGATGTATTGCTTTACGTGTTTCTTTCTTTATTTGTTGGTTTGTTTTGTTGTTGTGTTTCCCGTTTATTACTTTGCTTCTCTGTTATGTTTTTTTGTTATATTCGGTTTGTATTTGTTGCTTTGTTTATTTATTTCTTTGTTTGTTTATTTCTGTCTTTCTGTGTTTCCGTCGTGTCTTATTGCTTCTTTGTTTCTTTGTTAATTTATTTCATTGTTTGTTTGTCTGTCTTTATGTGTTTCTGTGTTTGATTGCTTCTTTGTTTGATTGTTTCTTTGTTTGCTCGTTCGTTCGTTTGCTTGTTCGCGTGATTGTTGTCCAAGAGAGCAATAAACAGAAAGAATTCAGGATCCATTCATGTTTGGCTCTAGACCAGACTTTAAGTGTGTCTACGCACTAGCAACCACTTAATGGGAACCCGAGATGCATAAACCCCCTGGTTTATGGGCGATTTTGTGGGGATCATCACTTTGGGAGGGGAAGACTCCCCTGGTGAGTAGTCCAAACCTGTGACAAAATCAAAGGGTCGGCAAAAAACAAGATTTTGGCACAAGAACCATCAAGAACCGAGGTTTTCCGTACCCATGCCGAAAATACAGGTTTGGCATAGGTAAATTACAGGTTTGACACGGGCAAGTTACGGCTTTGGCATGGGTTGCAAAATCAGAACCCGATTTTTTTGAACACAAACCCGAGGTATGTCCATTTGTTGAGAAATATCGGGTGTGTTCCTTTGCACCCTGTTTATGTTTTAGGGCTTGGGGCTATTTATAGGACAGATTTATTTATCTGGGGCCAGCATTACGTTTATGTCGACTTCGTATGCTGCATGTTGTTATCGGTCAACAATGCTATAATTAGGCACAGTCCCATTTTTGAGCCTCGCATGTGTTTCATTAGCAATCCACGCAGTGTGGCTCGTCCTTGACCGTGAGATCAGAAGCGTGGCAACTGAGACTCCACTCAACCCGAAACCTGGTGCGTGAAACATGGAGATGGTACCCGCACCGAAAATATTGAGACCAGCATCGCTCTGTGTTGCATAGCTCATCTCCTTTTGCCAAGGACGATAAAGATCATAAACAGACCCCGCCCCCAAAACAGCGTACACCAGATCGTTTTCAGTCTCGTCAGCCTCTGCAGGTTGATTCCGACCTTTGGTCTTCGACTCCGACCTGATCGGCTCTGCGCGATTTGCTCGTTGATCGGCTCCGCACAGCCTTTGATCCTGACCTGGGAAGAATGGTGGCGTGGGATATCCTGACCCTTTCTCACCTTTGTCAGGTAAAACATGGGAGTGTGGGATATTGCGCCACACACCATGCGACATAGAGATCCAAAGTGCCTTGCTTTTTTTTAAGCGGCAAAATCACGACCAACGCTTCTGGCGAGATAGAGAGTGAATGGAAAAAGACACTCAGCTGTGGTGCTGGCACAGCTTGCAACAGGATGAAATCGGCAGCTGCCTTGTGCTCGATGCAGATGGCAACCTGTGTTTGCCAACCTCCCAACTCATTTGGAGGAATGGCCACTTGAACGGAGAACATGTTTAAGCCCCCTTCGATTAACTGGCAGCCTATAGTCTAAGAACCCTGGTACAGCAAATTCTTCAAGTTATCACACACCGCTGTCTCATGATATAGGATTGGGGAAGGGAATTCAGAGCTCCCTGGGCTGGCCACTTGTATTCAGCCCAACATGAGATCTTCGCATTGTGGCTTTTCACCTTTCATCTAGTAATGGGTGACACGAAATTGAGATTTGCCTTTTGATCATGGTTTGAAGGCAGCCGAACAAGCCGAGCAGTTGGGGTGACGTTCTATATGCAAAACCACCCCGTGTGGCCCAAACGCTTTGAGCCCAGGGTTGGTTTTCCTTCCCACAACAGACAGTGTTGCTCGTTGGACCTTGGGAGCTCTTGTTCACCAACCTGAATGAAGACGACTTCATGGCGCACTTTACCCCAAGTCGGCTCAATTTGTGTCACGATGCTTCCTTCTTGCGGTGGCCATGTAGGCTCCAAACCAGAATCACGAACGTTTCACCAAAAATTCGGACGCGGGACAATTGTTGCCGGTGGTCTCCCTTTTCTCGTCCTCCCCAGCTGAAGAGCAGACTCCCAATAATGTTGTCAGTGAGTTACGTGAAAGGCCCTGTCAGAGGAGGAAGTCCCCTACGGAAGAAGAGGCCTTCAACCGCGGGCTTAGGTCAGGCTTACTTCAGGTTCGTGAGTTCAGGAAGAACCCCTGCGCACGGTCCAAATTGTGAAGTTAAAGTCCGAAGAGCAGATCTCTCTGTGGTGCTTTGCCCCAAAAGGGGCTGGCAGCTCGGCTGGCATGGCGCCTTGTGGGCCCGGACACCCAGGAATTGCGAAACCAAACGCAGGGCGGGATCGTCTCAAAATGAACCCCAAAGAGTGTTTTTTCCCCGAAACCATCCCGTCTTTTAGGCTACCGTCAGCAAAAAGACGCAAATAGGGATGGGGAAACGGGAGTCTCTGGGCAAGTCGCCATGTCGACCTTGGGGCCCCATAGAGGTTTCTTTTGTTGAAGTCGCTTGGTTGAAGTTGAATTGTAACCGGCCCAACAACATACGGGTGTTTCTCAAAATCAGGGAATCCTTGGTGGTTGGTTTTCTTGTGGCTTCCCCTGAAACAAACACATGGAAAAGGGGCCCCCTGTTTTGAGAAACACACCATGTGCCCTGTTTGAACCCTTGGTTTTATGTCGCTTCTTCAAAGTTGGTGCCCCCAATTTGAGAAGCAGCTTTCATGCGCAGCGTGTGGATGGATTTTGCCTTCGATGCAATTCCGCAGTCTTTAGGCATTTGATTTCCCTGGCAGAATCATTGGATCGCATGTTGATCCACCCATTTCTATGGGACCTACATGGAGGTGATCAGCATCGAGCTGTTTTTGTAGTTCAGTCCGCGATGCTGGTGCTCCACTTTTCAAGGGGGTTACGCTTCAAAGTCTACTACCGGAAGGAGGCGCCTTTTTCCCATATGGGAGTCGTTCTAAAGGTCCTTGTAGGAAGTTTAGTATTCGGTGACCATCGGTGTTGGTTGAGGTAGCTCCGCGAAAGATTCGCGATGGAGTTGCGAAAGTAACCATTTTGTTTTGTTTTTCTTCGCGACCGTTTTGCGTAACAGTATCTTGTAAATCAGTACGATATGTGCATCCATTCATCTTTTCTGCTGCGTCTTCCTTCTAAGCTGCTTAAAAGCTATTGTTGGTTTTCCCTGATAAAGCCTGGTGAGGCTACAGGTTGATACCCTTCTTGACCGGTTAGTGCTCCAAGTGTGTGGGTGTCAGTCGGTGGCTTTGCGCTCTGAAAAGTGCGTGAATTTTCGTGAAAGTTCCGCGAAAGATCCGCGAAAGCCCACGCGAAAGCGCAGGCTTCGATTGCAAGGGGAGGTACTTTCTGAGAGCCGCGCTAGTCAGCGTACTAGCTTGATGCTGAAAGTTGCGACTTCAAGCTGGAGCTTCCCAGGAAGTCCAAAGACTATGTAAAGAACTGTTTTTCTACAGTAGACCATTCTTTGCCGCGATCACGCGCGTCACGCAAATCACGCCCGGACTCAGATCCTGGCCAGGTCATCAGGAATGAGGGGGAATGTGTGTTGAACGACTATGCCTGTGCACGTGTCACAGAGAGATCTGCAGAAATTTAAGGTCCATGCGTTTTGCGCACGCGGATACAACAGGGGTAGACTGGCTGGCCCTGCTGGAGCAGATAACGCCCAGACAATATGTGTGGAAAGAAACATGAATTCGAAATGCTGCGGCAAAAACGACGACTCTACAATCTGCCGCTGCATTCTGACACCGAAAACACATATGTTAGCACGCGCGCCCACGCACACTCACATTCACAAGCCTCTAGCAGACCGTGCGCTTGCCTCCCTTCATTTTACTCTCTTTGCAGGCTCCACCGCATGGATGCCCAAGCGAGATAGAACTCACACTAGTGGTGTCACGAGCCACGCCGCCCTGTCAAATGCTGATACATGCTATGTTGCACGCAATATCACAGCAAGTTGAACATAACAAACGCTCTGTCGCTACGCTGTTTAAAGCCCAGGCCTGCAGCCTAAAAGCGATTGCAACGACATCTTGCAACTCTGTGGAACTCATTGGCGCTGTCGTGTTTTGTGGGCAATTTCTTGCCTTGTTTCCCTTCTTGGCTAAGCTTCCATTCATTGCTTTACTGAGACACCGTAGCAACAGCCAAGCAAATTACAGGCCGTGGCATGCACCTATGTGGATCATTGCCGGCTGCGCCACGAGCGCTACTTGCAAAGCCCTACAAAGTTCAAAGCCAAATCCGGCCATTTACTTGGCCGATGGTAGTGGGCAGGAGCAAATGACAAACACAACGGTAAGCGCAAAACCACTCTGTCAATGTTGTTGCTGATGTGGTTGCAGCAGCGTGCGACTTGCGGCAGTAGATCCTTGGCACGCATATCGTGGCAGCTTGTTTCTGAGTATATGTGTTTTGCGGATCGCAGACACTTGCCTCATGCGCGCTTGATCGTTGACTACCGGCCTAGGCTCTAAAAATGCCAACGCTTAGCAACCCTAAGCCAACATGTTCGGAACAATTTCGCAAAAACAGCACGGCATCCAGCGCACAGAATCGAGATTTCGGCGGGGGTGGCAAACCACGGTCTTACCACGGCAAAGTTTGGTCTTACCACGGTAAAGTTTGGTCTTACCACGCTTCCGTCACGGGTGCATCACGCCCCCACGTTTTCCATGTCCCAGGCAAGTGCTCCATAGCAACTCAGTTGTCCGCGAATAATCGCCCTGCTGTGGGAAGACGTAGTAATGAGGGCAAGATTCTTGGCAGCGCCACATACGTTCGCTTTTCTATACACGGTCCTAATTTTGGTTTATGTCACAGTAACACAGGCGCTCATGGATGTTGTCAAGCGTGCGTGGTCCTGCAGTGCATAAGACTACAGTTGTCGCCGGTGTGCCTTTGACGTCGTGCGTGTCACAAGATACAAACGGGCAACCGCAACCGCAAAATACTGGTTGGAGCCATGGCGGATGGAAGCGCGACGGAGACACTTACATGTTGAAATGCTAGGAAGGATCGACACACAGTTCTACTGAGTGTAGCGGAATGGCACCTGAGCGGAAGGCGAACAGACATAACACATCGTAGTGGCTCACACACATACTCCTACATATTGTTTATGCGCTTGATATGTAGTACGGCTTCCTACGCTCTGCAAGCTGTGAGCATGGGTTCAGCATAACTGGCCTGAACAATCGAGAAGCACAAAGCAGAACAGCTGACCTTATAGGAGCGCACGAAATGCGCTTCAGGAGTGCAGGTTGGTATGTAGCCCCTTTCTGGCTATGGGTGTTTTTTCCTGGCTTCTTTTGGCCGGGTTGCGATGCTGCTGTTTGGTTGCGCGCGTTTAGTTGTTTCTCGGGCACGAATGGAAAGTGCGTTGCCATAGCTCGTTTTCATGCTGTTGAAGCCTTCCCCTTCTTTACCATTTGACCATGTGACATGCACAAGTTGCTTTCAGCCGTTCAGCCGTTTGTGTGTGCGCTTTCGGGAGGAGCTGACGGTGTTCTTTATGAAATCTGAAAGGAAGCGAGCCAACAAGCAGGGCAGCGCAAAACGCCAACGCATGTCGAGCAAGTGGACGAGATCTAGCGCCATCGGCGTGGCAACAATCAAACATATATACCTGTATTCAAATATGTTGCTGCGGAAACATGCAGCGGGGCCAACGTCCTAAAAATGACCAGTAATATTGCTGATACGGTTGGAAGAAATAGCGCAAGTCAAAGTTCGGCCTTCCAAGCCAAACTTCGGTCTTTGAACAAAGACTTAACTTTGTTTAGTCTAAGACTTCCTGGGGCCTCGCGGCTTATACATGCTAGAACTGCGGAAGTGCATTTCGTGTACTGGCACTGAACAGTTCAGAGCTGCAGAAGTGCATGTCATGTACTACCCCGGAGACGAACAATTGCCACTTTACAGCCGGAGTTGACCACCTCAAACGGGGTTGGTGGACATGAATCCTTTGAATGATATTCACCAAACAGGTCCGCTAATCAAGTTTCATGCCCACAATATCAGACTGTTTCCAGCCAGTCAGCTCTGACAGTCTGACAGGTTTTAGTGACCTGTGCCTTGCCAGTCGCGCTTCTCGCTCAGGTGCGCGCGAGCAGGCCGGCAAGGCCGACGTCGCGCTGGTTTCTGACAAAGGGGCAGAAGAGCCGTTCCTCCATTTTGCCAGGCCAATGACTTACCCTACGAAATGTTGGACTTACCCTCTCTTTCAACCAAAAGCCGAACCTAAGTCTAGCCCAGTCCACTGTACAATCAGAGTGGATAGACCACGAATGAACATGACATTGCGAGGGGGTGCTTTGTTACCTTTGTGTTTGGAGCCTTTGGCTAGTGACCGCAGAGTTGGATAGGCACCCGGCACCCGCGGCAACGAGTCAACATGTTTGGAAGGTGAATCACCTGTTCTGAGCGTTCCAAACGTTCAAGTTCTTGCGGAGAATGCACCAAGTGTCCGATTCAGGGATCCTACCTGTAAACCCCTTCCTGGAAACCGGAAGCGGGTCACCCCAATGCGGTTCTCCTTGCGAGGAAAATTCGCCGGGTCTGCGGGTGACTCGCTGGACAGGAGCGCATTCCTTTTGCTCGGCCTGCGGCTCCCGGGGTCGCAAGGAGCAGCCGGAAGCCCAGGAGTTGCGTGTGGTTTCACGGTTGTTGGTTGGGAATTAGGTATGTGTTCACCTTTTGGTTGGTTAGGCGCTTGGTTGGTTGGTTAATAGGTCGGGTTTTCCTCTGTGTCCCGTTTTGGTTTTGTGAACATCGTCTTCTGGGCCCATTTCATGTGAGGTTCCCTTTGGTGGGGAAATGTTTGAGGGGGGAAGCATAATACAAGGATCTAACCACGTTGGTTGGTTTGTTTGTCTGTGAGTGTTTTGTGTTTGTCGCTTCTAAGAGGATTTCTACTACCTCCCACCATATGTTTCACTCACGGCTAGGGGAATTGGTATTCCGAGCCCTTTCAGATTGCTGTTTTGTGTGTGTGTGTGAAATCACATCAGGGGCAGTTTTAGCGACCAGCTTATATGCCTCATTTGATGTGGTTTGGAAAGCTCACGAGGCCTTCACAAGGGTAATCAGAGGGAATGCCAGTGCCATGCGGGTGTCCTCATCTTGTGAGCCACATCGACTTGAGCAAATGCTCACATTGAGTGCTCCACTGACCATTTTTAGCACAGCAAACGAAACAAAGACCCTTTCACCCCCCTTCGCGAAACGACTATGCGACGTCAACTAGGGTAGGCAACCCTTTTAGCAGCTGGCTCGGTTCCTACACGGTTTCATGCGATTGATAACAAGGCTTATACAAAGCATTCTAACCATTTGAGTAGAACACCCAGCACGTGAGGAAGTTGTGCTGGTCTTGTTTGTATGTTGTTGCGCCAAATGGTGCAGCACGTATTTTGTTGTTGGGCATGAAGAGCTGTCCTGCCTCTGCCTATAGACCCTTGCCATGCAAAGATGCGGGGGATGAAATGCTAGGGTTGATGCCCCATGCTCAACCATCCTCTCAAAATCCGGGCAGTTTCCCGGGATGTTCGGGCAAAGTTGCGTTTTGGACTGTGGAAGTTGCCCCAAAGTACTGGCTGTCTGGATGCTTTGGTCTACTAGAACATGGCTTGGGCTTCCGGGGGCCCGTTGAGAGCTTTCCGATGAGTGAGTATGGGAGATGTCTCAAGGAACATGATTTCGTTTCCTCGTCTTGGTGTTTCCCAGCCATCCGGTTCCTTAGCTTCGTAAGTTTTTAGTTGGTTGAGTGGAGTTTTCCATTCAACCCACTCAAAATTCACTTTTAGCAGGGAATCTGAGCACAGCCCAGTGACAAATATTTAAGTGAGAAACATTTCAACCACAACACTTGTATTTGCCACAGATGCAAGTTTGGTATCAGGAGCCACGTCGATCGCCTCCTAGCTTGCATGGCACCTGATTTCGTCAATGCACTTGGTTGCCCGTACCTCGCCGCATCTCAAGTGGAGCAAAGGTGAATCCACTGACATACTGATTACTGTGAATTGCCTAATGCAATATTTAAGGCCCGCCACTGGCACACATCCCACAGACATGAGCAGTATGTCCTTTGGGGCGGTACCGAGTGAGCTGCGGGAATGAAAGATGCTTTCCATGTGCAGAAGGCGATCTGTCAAAGACCCGGCACCTAATTTCCATTGAACAAAGAAGACACCCGTTGCTTGAATTGCAACTGAGTGTACATCTCAAGTTGCCAGGGACCTTTCGCACTGTAGCCCCTGTCCGTTGGGTGCATGGCTGGGTGAGGCCAGGAGCTTATCCAACACATACTTGGACTCCGAACAAACCGGACATCTTGGGTATGGGTCAAAATCAAAACACCAGGGGACCGCAGGTTTTGGTCCATGTTTCCATTTACCAGGGTTCCATTTTGGGCACCTAGTTTTGACCCACAGCCAAATGGGCTTTGTAAGGTCAGCCCACATGGCATGAAGCTCTTGCGACTCAATGACAAGCTTTGAAGGTGTTGGCCCACAATGCCGTGGGCTTTTATTCCAACAAACAACGGGGGAGCAATTGAAAATCCACAGGGCTGCCTAACTTCAGCCAATGCTTGGAGCTTGAACCTCGTGGAAAGGCGTTTGTTGACTTCCTCTGGCTGTGCCATTGTTCTACTACAGGCAAGTTCGAAGATGAGTTGGCACAAATTTGGAAAGTTTGACACTTGAGAAAGTCCTCCATCGCTGACATCGCTGTTCTCGCTTCCTTGTCAACTTAAAAGAAGGATGAGCCACAAAGGCCTCGTTTCCATTTCACTTTGTAATTGCCTTAGACTGCCTTTTCATCTTGTTTCATTGCTCCGTTGTTTACATCTTCCGGCAAAGGCTCAGCTTAGCGGGTCGGATCCGTCCCCTTCCATGGCGAATCCCTCAGCTTGACGTCTGAAATCTGAAGACATGCTGCCCGTAAGCCAAACACGCGTGGGGCAAGATGTGCTTTTGAACAACTACACCCCCCCCCCCTCCAAGGGAAACCTACAGGAGGTGGTTTAAACCAAGGTGGTTTAAACATGTTTCTTCATTTGGGGGTGCCCCAAATGTGATTCGCGGTCAACCCAGGAACCTCACGGCGGCAAAGATGGCACAACATGGCTGGGCTGAAACCTATTTACCTTTGTGTGCAGGTCTTGTCTTCATTTGTGTGTTTGTGGCCTGTTTTGTATGCATACTCTTATTCTTATGCACAGAATATGGGTGGCTTACGATCTTACCCATATTTACCCATGCTTCAGGATTCCATTGCCATTGATTTAGGTTGGTGAATTGTAGGTGCAATTCGCGCAGGTCCGTGTCTGTGTTATAATATATTGTCAACCTCATTATGTGTATATATATATATATATTGTTTGACGGCTTGCAAGGATACCATTCAAAACAGCATCAGGGGGAGGAGGATTGTTAGACCTTTGAAAATTCAACGCACGATTCTGGGAATCTCAGCTAAGGTCATGAGATGCAGAGGGGTGACGGCGCAGGTGGGCTTGCCAAACCACGGGAAAGGGGTTCCAAATAAGGACAAACTGGATTTCCAGTTGCTGTTTTTTTTCCAGCAACTGTGACTGATTTCTAAAGAAGGTGTATGGATAAAAAACATCATGATTGTTTACCGATTGCTTGTTTGAGGGGGAACCCTTCCTTTCCATGATTTGTGGGGGCTGTATTATCCGTTCCCCCTACTAACAACAGGCAAACAAACAAGCACATCCCTTGGAACAATGTATTGTTATATATTAATATTACAGAACAGGGGGCTGCGGCAGTACATATTTGTGTGTTTTGCCGTGGAGTTTTGAACCTGTGTAAATTCCAAGGCAATGCGTGCCCAAAAAGCAAGATCAAGCGGTCTTGCATTGTTAGCCCGAAGCGTGAAGCGGGGCTGGGCAAATCGTGCGGCTGAGCCCGGCGCGAGCAGATCTTGATGCGAGGTGTCGGCATCAGGGTCACAACGCGGCCTGACGTAGCGAGGCTTGGAGAGACCCTGCGCACACAATCCCACCCAAAGAAGCGGGGTTGGGCCCCTTCAACACAAGGTTGGGGGGCTGATGACAGCGAGCGACCTTGATTCGAGGCGTCAGCATCAGGGCATATGAGGGCCTCGCGAGGCAATCAAGAGACATGCGACCAGCGTTGCTTGTTGTTTTGAAGTATCTGTGTAAGTGTTTGTTGTTTCTGCTGTTCAACGTCTTTCAATTGGATCAAGCCTGCCCAAGACCAAAAACATAAAAACTCGACATCACAAAACACAATCCTCAGACATATGTTTCTTCTGTTGGTTTTGTTGTCTTTGTTTTGGTTGGTTTTCCCGAGGCGGTTTTGGTGTTTGGTTTTCGACATGGCTGATCCAGTGGATTTGTTTGTGTGTTGGAAATGAAGTCCTACTTAAAGTTCCGTTTAAGATGGAATTTCGAGTTGAACTCTGCTTGAATAAATTGAGTTTAGAGAAAAATATGTGTACACAAATTATATCGGCAACACCATCCTTCGTAAAGTTTCATTTGAAACGTTTTGTTTTCTCCATTTGCAAATCTAGTTTATGACTGGATTATGTTCTTATCAAGTTATGTTTCAGCTTTAATTGAATTGTAAAGTTCTATTTGAATAGAATCAAATAAGGACAATCCAAAAGCAGTTTCTTCTTTAGATTAGACATGACATAATACGTATATATTCTATTTCAATTTAACTTTCACAGTGAACTTCCTTTGCTGTAGAATGTACCATTCAATCAGGTACCATGGAAGCACCGTTTATTCACATTCGGGACCCCTGAATTCTTTCCTTATGAAATTATACTGAATATATTCTGAAAGCTCTACTCAATGTCCAACTGAATAAAACAAACAAATAAACAGCAATTAATCCAATCAGACTTTGACTTACAGTGTAGTTTAATTTACACGATCAGTATTTACTTTAAAACTACACTTTATGCAGGATGCCCTTTCCCGCATATTTTTGTCTGTGCAATTCAGTTAGTTAACGCTCAAACACAATTTATTCAACAAGAGCTCAACATAAGCGAAGCGAGTGCAAAACGCATATACAGACGTACATGCAAAAGCTGATCAACATGAAGCAACCAGTGCAGTGCCACAGTCCCCTGCCCTCTATGAGTATTGTTCGGGGTCCCAGTTCAGGTCTTGGTGTGTCCAGTATGTGTTTTCGTTCACGTACTTACTGTAGGGGCACGGTCTCAATTGAGAGGGGGAAATTTGCCAAATCAACTCGGATCTTGCAATCTGGGGCTCAGCGGCTCCCGAAATGTCGTCAGAGCCAACCATATGTGACATGCAAGCTCCATTTGGATACCCTTACAAAAAGGCAACATGGTCTGCAGACTGTGTTTTAGAATTGTTACTTTTTAATACCTGGGGGGGAAACAGCAGCCCAGATGCCAGCTCCAACCGGGCCTGCATCACTTCTGACAAAAAGGATCATAGATGCGAGTGGAAATGAAAGATCACTGCCATGTTGCTGTAACGAACACAAATGAATGGCACAGAGGATACATGAGACGAGTGCGACGCAAGTTAATTCTAGCAGGAACAAAACACCCATATATATATATATATATACAACATGTATCCTACAATTGAAAACATGAGCGCATTGAGTTTGCAGGCAGTCAGAATTATGCTTGAGCTTGAGGTACAACAGGCCTGGAGCAACGTTAATCTCCGTTTCCGTTGTATTTGATGCTCACGCCGGACGATTCATGGAGGACAAGCCCATGGGTTTGTGCGTCTAGAAGTTGAACGCCCGGTTGAAACTGGCCGCATCATCGCTTCACTGGCATTGACCGCATGGAAGCAGTACCCATTTTGCACTACGGGGGGTTTGGTGAAAGGATACAGGCTCCGTTCGCAAGTCCCGTTTCGCCTTTAGCAGGGCTTCTCTCTGCCGTGAACACATCACGAACCTGGGTGTTTTTCAGGCACATTATATGTCGAACAGGGGAACCACACATGTGTTGCCATCTTTCTGCTGTGCCGGTCGGAGCACCTTTTGCTTCTTCACGCACCTTGTGAGTCGCAGGTTACCCTGGAGGCTATGGGACAAATGGACAGACAGTCTACGCAGGAGCCTGAGATGGATAGCAATGTGATCATAGGCGCATTTGAAGGGGTCAAGTACGAACCCCATAGACCATGGAACTTGATTCACGCCATCAGAGGAAGCAATCCGAATGAAAAATAGTTGGAGATACGGTGGATGCCCTAAATAATTGCAAGTAGGTAAAAGCGGAAGAAATTCCATGGTGTGTGGTTGGTTTACTTGCAATAAGATTTCGGGCATCCACCATAAACTTAAACCTTTGCGGAACATGTTCTGTGTTTCTTTTTTTGAGCTTCACGTTCAGTGTTTCTTTTGTGTGTCTTTAAAGGGATTTGAAAAGGGTGTGTCCATGTCTGGACAAGGAAGTAAGGGGGTTGCGGAGAGCTTTGAAGATACGGCAGCCATGCAATTTGATAATCCAGAAACAGGGCTTAAAAAGAGAGTGTGGGAAAAAGTCATGTTCTTTTGGATTTTCTTTGTACTGTGTGGCGATGCATCTCGTTGGTTGCGACGGTTCCCAGTGAGCCCGGCATGTTATGCACAGCAAACACGAGGCCAAGATGGGGACAGTGCCATTGGACTTTTCCCCGACTTGTGTCACTAGTTCGTACCTGGTTTCGCAGGGGCCATTCATGGGGTATAGTAAGGTATAATTGGTTTCAGAACCAATCGCAAATTGGTGAAATGTGGGAGGTTCAGGTTTGCCTCCCACGGGTTGATGCCTGTTCTCACTCGCTCGCTGGTCATACTTTTGGGACTAGCTTTTCGGTGGCAACCACTTTGGGCTTTGCTCAATGCACTTGGGTGGTGGGTCCCCCCTTTGTCTCTCCTGATCAAGTCCAAAACACGGCGCCAATTCTTTTTCTAGGGTCGAACACCTGTATTGCAAAGTATTTTGTTGGTTTCCTTTTGGCTTCGTTTTAGCTACCAAAAGGGGTCTACCGTCTTGCAAACAGAAGCTCCAACGCTTTCAGCATATTGCAAAATTGCTTGAGATGCTTTACTGCAAATACCATGGAGGAGCCCCGATCCCCTTTCTGGGTACTTGGGTCTGTCGTTTTTGAAGCTTCCCCTTTTTTGGTGGTAGCAAGAAAACGGACGAAGCCATTTTGGGGACTCCAAACTAAAAAAGACAGACCTACCGTAGCTGTTTGGATGGTCCAAGCATTTCGGGGAACCATTTTGGGGGTCCAACTTGGATGGTTTTTGGTGTGAACCGGGGATAAACGTAGCTTACAAACCAGACCCATCGATCGATCTGCCGCTTCGAGGTCCAGGACTTCTGGGAGGACCAGCTGCAGCTGTCGAGCGGCAACTTGCCGTGGCACATTTTGGGCCTCGCGCCTGGGCGAAACTTTGGTCGGTCTTTGTTTTGGGTACCGTGTTCGGTGGGTTTTAAAGGGGAACTGACAGGAAAACCACATAAAACCACCATTTTGTTCAGTCCCCTAGACAAAGATATACCCACATCTTTGCCCTTAAACTAAAAATGCTGCTATAGAAGGGCGGATTTTGGATTGAACATCGAGCATACACGGGAGTTTCTCAAAGGGTGCATTTGCTAAGATGGGTGTCCTTCTGGTTTCCCTTTACCGGCTGAAAGGGGACGGGGATCCACCATGTTCACAAACTCCCGCATTTTTGCCCTTGATTGAAATGATGGAACATATTTACGATTTAGGGTTGAACATTGACCAGAAGCATCTTGCATCTTTACTCTTGACTAACATCAATGTGATTTCTATTGTCTAGGGACGTCTTGGTGGACATCATTTCCACAAGGATTGATGTTCAACCGTGTTGGAGGGTCCCCCCTAAAGTGCATGACCCAATGATGGTAGGACATACAGGTTGTATTGTGTTTGAGGGTGCCTTCTTTGGGTTGGTTTAACTGATAGCCAAAAGCGAGCCGACGATTTTTGTTGGGGTCACCTTTCTATCATTGCCACACCCAGGGTTGTCTCAAAATAGGGACCCTGAAAATTGGTGGTTTTCCCCTTTACAACCGCCCCAAAAAGGCTACCATCAAAGAAAGACACACCCAAACGTGTATATATATAGATATATATATATATATGTATATATGGATGGCTCCAGGATATATTGGCCAAGGCGCAACCCCCCACTCTTCGCAAGAAGGAGAAGGAGGCAGGCAGGGGGGGGGTTGCAAGGCGGGGGAGTTTCTGTTTTTGACAAGCAGGCCATTGGGAGCCGGAAATCTTTGGAGAAGATGTGAAAACCGGCGTTTTGCCATCTGTCCGGGTACTCTCAGCGGAAGTTGACCTACGCGTACACTTCCACTGCCACGTGAGAAATTTAGCATAGATCTGCAGGAAGGGGTCCTTAAACCTCAACGGACAGGAGGTGCCTTGCCCAAAGAGGCCGCCACACAAGCTCGGGTTCCCGATTTGTTGCGAAAGGCTGGGTTTAAAAATCACCCGGTTTAGTGAGTTCCTTTCTGGTGATGTCAACAGGTTGATCCACGGCTGTTGCAGACAATGTTTCCGTATGGGAAGCGCACAGCCTACGTGACAGCATGTGATAGCACACAGCTACATCATTGGTCTGCTTTGGGGCCTGCTCGTGACGTCCTTCAGGGTTCCCTATGGGGAACTTGTGAACATCACTCTTTGCGCCAAGTTTGAATGAGTCGTCTTTTAGTAGGTAAGTGGGGTGATGTACCGTGGTTTTGTGCCTTACCTCTGTACCAAATCCCACATTCCCGCGGTTGGAGCTCGTAGCATGCTCACCGGCAAAGTCACATGGAACCCACAACCACGGTCTCATTTTGCAGGACCTTGGTTCCATGTGAATATGCAGAAGTGTACAGGCAAGTTGACGGCATTCAATATTCTCTGGGGGATTTGATTAGGATGTTTCTTGTCCCTGCGGTTTTGCGGCTAGATCAAGCCTATTCAGAAATTCAAGGCTTTTTTGCACTTCGCGCGCCCTCCGCACCATCCTTCTTGGTGAAGCAATCCCGCCAGCACAGGGTGCCCTGCGTCCCTGCCTTGTGGCATGACGTGTCAATGTACGCCTTTGTTCAGGGCTCCACATATTGCTCCGGGTGGTGTTCAATATGGCTATTTGGTTGTCCCACAGGATGTGTTCTATGCTCAGTGCATAGGATTTCCTATGGTGGCCCTATCGAGGCGGTAAAACTCGCATCTCACTCGTTCCTTCGGGTTGTGTTTCCAGGCGCTGCTGCAGTGGCGCCTGCACGTGGTGTCCGCCAAGAGTCAGGTCACCGACTGGGCGGTGGGCGATCGCAACACCTGGCGCCTTGGAGCCGAGTGGCTGATGTTGCACCGACTTTTGAGGGCACCAGTGGGTGAGTTTGGGTTGGATTGGGTAGGGTTGGTTGGTTACTGTATGGGTCCAATCCAAATCACAGAAGTGTTCCTGCAAAGGGGTACCTCAAATGACAACCCACACCCAACTCAAAATAGGATGGCCCGACAAATTATGGTGTTCCTTTTCCCAATTGAAACCAAGCGTGCATCCTTTAACCAAACAACAAACAGCACACAGAGGCACACACCAATGCGGACTTCTCAGGCAGCGGGACTTGGGGTTCCCGGAGACGGTGCCGGTGCGGACCGGCGTGGCGGCCTTGCAGGTGACACTGCCCCGAGGCCGCCGCTGTTTTTTCTCTATTGGGGAGTGGCTGATGGCAAGGGCAAACCATTGGTGTTGTTGAATTGGTGCTTTGGGGGCTTGAACCCTGGGTTTTCGTAGAAGGTAAATGGGTGTTTGTTTTGTAGGGGACCCCAAGAAATGGTTGGTGTTTCCCTTTAAAGCCAACCAAACAGGATTACCCTCAAAAACAAACCCAAATGGTAGACCACCCAGCCTCCAAACCATGCATCCAAACCACCAGTTCGCGGAAAGCTGAACTTGGGCCTTTGGCCGTCCGTTCTGGTATCTACGGATGGATTTTGTGGTAGCGGATGGTTCAAGCCAATCTGACCTGCCAGTCTGAAATGTGTTTTCTTTTACATGCTTCCTATGAATGTTTATGGGGGCATTGGCAACTCGGCCATGGGGAAGGGATCCCCAACAAAACATGGAAGCAAGAGACCCCCCTTAAAGCCTGTTTTCCTCTAGCAGGGACCCTTCTTCAGGTTTTTGGGACAGATGCCCCCCCAAAAAATGGGTGTTTTGTTTTTGGGGATACTCCTATTTTGAGACACCCCCATGATTTCAGGCAACCCTGAATTGGTGGTTTGGATCGGTTTGGGGATTTGAGCCCCAGGTTCTTTTGACACCGTTGTGGGAAAGGTACCCCACGTCCAAACCACCAATTAGAGGGAAGTTGAGAATTGGGTTTGTCTTCTTTGGCGGGCACCCTTTTCCGGCTGGTGTAAAGAGAAACCAAAAAGAAAACCGCCACCTTTTTTCTTTTGGGAGGGGTTAATGGCTAAAGGAAAGCTGATTGGAAAAACCACTGCTGTTGAGACACACCCCGAGCATTGGGGCTCCAACTTAGGCGCACAGCTGCCGGCGACCTTTGTCGCGGGCAAGGCCTCGATGCTCCACTTCTGCTGGCCTTTCTCCGTGTGCACCGCACATAGGACTCGTCACGGTTTCGGTTTCTGGGGTATTCGGTCTGTGGGTGGTATAGAGACCTGGGTTCTGTGGGGATCAAATCAGCAGGTTGCTTTTCCTTACTGTGGTGGACAGAATCCATTTCGCACCAGTTGGCAGGTGGTTTGTCCGCATACTTGCAGGGTTTCGTCCATCCCAACTGGTGCTGCCGTGGATTTTGTCCATCGACGGTTTCACTTAAAACCGTAGCGAGCCGATCCCACGCCAAACGAAGAGGAGTGGAGGTTGCAACTCGTTTATTGTCCCAAATTGGGGAAACCCCCAAAGTGGTTTTCCTTTTGTTTCCCCTAAAACAAGAACCACAAGGGTACCATCACCAAAAGAGACTCCCATTTGTTTTGGCCAAACACTCGTTTTTCAACTTTTGGAGAATACTAAAAGCACAAGCTGAATTTTTACTCTCGGGGGCTCGAATTGGCTCGGTTCCGAATCAGCTCCGAGGTGTTGCCACTGTTTGGGTAGGCACCCTTGAACAATTTAAGAATTCACCCTTGAACAATGGATGGAAGTAACATGTTCGTACATGTTTGTACTGCATATATATATATATTATAAAGTATGTAGATACAATATTTGTGCAGGGGTATGTATATATCTCAATGTGCACTTTGTGTGCCCGTTATGTACCCCTACCATGTACCTGGGCGGCGTTTTACATGTGTTGCATACGCATCATAGGCTATTTGCGTACGCAAGTATGCACAATTGCAAACATGTATTCATATATGCACATATACATATGTATATACATATATATACATATACACATATATGCACGCATATTATCATATATGTATGTTTTTTTTTCACATACACATGCGTATATTTATGTACTATACGATTCCATACGGAAGCGTATAGCAGACGTGCCCGTAAACATCGCGGATTGTGGTTGCTGGGACAGGTCGACTTTAATAGGCTTTGCCTGTTGCAAACTCGACAAGATCATCGCATAGCTAGTCGGGAATCTGGTTTAACAATACTTTTTTTGGGCAGCTCCTGGGCCGAAACAACAGACTCGCACACAAAACAGCTTGCAAAAGGCAAGCCACCTTGAAACGAGTGTGATTTGCAGGAATCATTGTTAAGGGCCCTTGTTGGGCCCTGGTTTAAATTTCCAGGGATAAGCCTGAATTTGGGGAACACTAAACCCAATGAACTGGGTTGCCACAAACTCAGCTTGGCGCAATCCAACCAGCTCGCAGCATACAGATCTTGAGTTGGTACCCCTTTGCGGTGCCAAAGGAAAACCAACGGGAAAACCATAATTTTAATGCCTCCGGCTCAGGCCGCCGACATTACAGGCCTGCTTTCTTATTTGCGTCCCTTTGGAATTGTCCCCTTGCCCCCTTCCCCTCTGAGATTTTTGCCCCCCTTTCTTTGTTGAGATCCATTCCCCCTTTCCGCCCTAAGGCCTTTTCTCCCTCTGTTTTTTCCCTTTTCCTCCCTAAGATGTTTTCACCCCTCTCCCTGTTGAGATCCTTTCCCCCCTTTCCCCCCTAAGGCCTTTTCCCCCCTGAGATCTTCTCCCTTTTCCTCCCTTTCCCCCACTTTCCCCCCTACGGCCTTTTCCTCCCTGGGATCTTTTTCCTTTCCTCCCTGAGATCTTTCCCCCCCTTTCCCTGTTGAGATCCTTTCCCCCCTTTCCCCCCTACGGCCTTTCCCCCCGCTGAGATCTTCTCCCTATTCCTCCTTAAGATCCTTTGCCCCCTTTCCCTGTTGAGATCCTTTCCCCCCTTCCCTTTAAGGCCTTTCCAGATCTTCTCCCTTTTCCTTCCTAAGATTGTTTCCCCCCTTTCCCTGTTGAGATCCTTCCCACCCTTTCCCCCCTCAGGCCTTTCCCCCCCCTGAGAGCTTCTCCCTTTTCCTTCCTTAGATCTCCCCCCTTTCCCTGTTGGCCTTTTTTCCCCCAGATCTTCTCCCTTTCCTCCCTAAGATCTTTTCCACCCCTTTCCCTGTTGAGATCATTTCTCCCCTTTCCCCCCTACGGCCTTTGCCCCCAGATCTTCTCCCTTTCCTCCCTAAGATCTTTCCCCCCCTTTCCCTGCTCAGATCCTTTCCCCCCTTTCCCCCCTAAGGCCTTTCCCCCCCTGACATCTTCTCCCTTTTCCTCCCTAAGATCTTTTGCCATTTTTCCCTGTTGAGGTCCATTCCCCCTTTCCCCCCTAAGGCCCTTTCTCCCTCTGAGTTTTTCCCTTTTCCTCCCTACGATGTTTTCCCCCCTCTCCCTGTTGAGATCCTTTCCCTCCTTTCCCCCCTAAGGCCTTTTTTCCCCCCGCGATCTTCCCCCTTTTCCTTCCTAAGATCTTTTCCCCCCTTTCCTTGTTGAGATCCTTTCCCGCCCTTTCCCCCCTAAGGCGTTTTCCCCCCCAAGGTCTTCTCCCTTTTCCTTTCTAAGATCCTTTGCCCCCTTTCCCTGTTGAGGTCCTTTCCCCTCTTTCCCCCCTAAGGCCGTTCCACCCCTGAGATCTTCTCCCTTGTCCTCCCCAAGATCTTTTCCCTTGGTTGAGATCCTTTCCCCCTTCCCCCCAAGATCTTCTCCCTTTCCTCCCTAGGATCCTCTCCCACCTTTCCCTGTTGAGCTCCTTTCCCCCTTTTCCCCCTAAGGCCTTTTCAGATCTTCTCCCTTTTCCTCCCGAAGATCCTTTGCCCCCTTTCCCTGTTGAGATCCTTTCCCCCTTTCCCCCCTAAGGCCTTTTCCCTGCCTGGGATCTTCTCCCTTTCCTCACTGAGATCTTTCCCCCCCTTTCCCTGTTGAGATCCTTTCCCTCCTTTCCTTCCTAAGGCCTTTCCCCCCGCTGAGATCTTCTCCCTACTCCTCCTTAAGATCCTTTGCCTCCTTTCCCCGTTGAGATCCTTTCCCTTCTTCCCTTTAAGGCCTTTCCAGATCTTTTCCCTTTTCCTTCCTAAGATTGTTTCCCCCCTGTCCCTGTTGAGATCCTTCCCACCCTTTCCCGCCTAAGGCCTTTCCCCCCTGAGAGCTTCTCCCTTTTCCTTCCTTAGATCTTTCCCCCCTTTCCCTGTTGGCCTTTTTTTTTCCAGATCTTCTCCCTTTCCTCCCTAAGATCTTTTCCACCCCTTCCCTGTTGAGATCATTTCTCCCCTTTCCCCTCTAAGGCCTTTGTCCCCAGATCTTCTCCCTTTCCTCCCTAAGATCTTTCCCCCGCCCTTTCCCTGCTGAGATCCCTTTCCCCCTTTCCCCCCTAAGGCCTTTCTCCCCCCTGAGAGCTTCTCCCTTTTCCTTCCGAAGATCTTTTCCCCCCTTTCCCTGTTAGGCTTTCCCCCGTAAGTCCTTTTCTCCCAGATCGTCTCCCTTTCCTCCCTAAGATCTTCCCCCCCCTTTCCTCCTTAAGATCTTTCCCACCCTTTCCCTGTTGAGATCCTTTCCCCCCTTTCCCTCCCAAGGCCTTTCCCCCCCCCTGAGAGCTTCTCCCTGTTCCTTCCTAAGATCTTTTCCCCCCTTTCCCTGTTGGGCTTTCCCCCCTAAGTCCTTTTCTCCCAGATCTTCTCCCTTTCCTCCCTAAGATCTTCCCCCCCCCTTTCCTTCCTAAGATTGTTTCCCCCCTTTCCCTGTTGAGATCCTTCCCACCCTTTCCCCCTGAGGCCTTTCCCCCCCTGAGAGCTTCTCCTTCCTTAGATCTTTCCCCCCTGTCCCTGTTGGCCTTTTTTCCCCCAGATCTTCTCCCTTTCCTCCCTAAGATCTTTTCCACCCCTTTCCCTGTTGAGATCATTTCTCCCCTTTCCCCCCTAAGGCCTTTGCCCCCAGATCTTCTCCCTTTCCTCCCTAAGATCTTTCCCCCCCTTTCCCTGCTCAGATCCTTTCCCCCCTTTCCCCCCTAAGGCCTTTCCCCCCCTGAGATCTTCTCCCTTTTCCTCCCTAAGATCTTTTGCCATTTTTCCCTGTTGAGATCCATTCCCCCTTTCCCCCCTAAGGCCCTTTCTCCCTCTGAGTTTTTCCCTTTTCCTCCCTACGATGTTTTCCCCCCTCTCCCTGTTGAGATCCTTTCCCTCCTTTCCCCCCTAAGGCCTTTTTTCCCCCCGCGATCTTCCCCCTTTTCCTTCCTAAGATCTTTTCCCCCCTTTCCTTGTTGAGATCCTTTCCCGCCCTTTCCCCCCTAAGGCGTTTTCCCCCCCAAGATCTTCTCCCTTTTCCTCCCTAAGATCCTTTGCCCCCTTTCCCTGTTGAGATCCTTTCCCCCCTTTCCCCCCTAAGGCCTTTCCCCCCCTGAGATCTTCTCCCTTGTCCTCCCCAAGATCTTTTCCCTTGGTTGAGATCCTTTCCCCCTTTCCCCCCGAGATCTTCTCCCTTTTCCTCCCTAGGATCTTCTCCCACCTTTCCCTGTTGAGCTCCTTTCCCCCTTTTCCCCCTAAGGCCTTTTCAGATCTTCTCCCTTTTCCTCCCTAAGATCCTTTGCCCCCTTTCCCTGTTGAGATCATTTCTCCCCTTTCCCCCCTACGGCCTTTGCCCCCAGATCTTCTCCTCCCTAAGATCTTTCCCCCCCTTTCCCTGCTCAGATCCTTTCCCCCCTTTCCCCCCTAAGGCCTTTCCCCCCCTGAGATCTTCTCCCTTTTCCTCCCTAAGATCTTTTGCCACCTTTCCCTGTTGAGATCCATTCCCCCTTTCCCCCCTAAGGCCTTTTTTCCCCCCGCGATCTTCCCCCTTTTCCTTCCTAAGATCTTTTCCCCCCTTTCCTTGTTGAGATCCTTTCCCGCCCTTTCCCCCCTAAGGCGTTTTCCCCCCCAAGATCTTCTCCCTTTTCCTCCCTAAGATCCTTTGCCCCCTTTCCCTGTTGAGGTCCTTTCCCCTCTTTCCCCCCTAAGGCCTTTCCACCCCTGAGATCTTCTCCCTTGTCCTCCCCAAGATCTTTTCCCTTGGTTGAGATCCTTTCCCCCTTTCCCCCCAAGATCTTCTCCCTTTTCCTCCTAGGATCCTCTCCCACCTTTCCCTGTTGAGCTCCTTTCCCCCTTTTCCCCCTAAGGCCTTTTCAGATCTTCTCCCTTTTCCTCCCGAAGATCCTTTGCCCCCTTTCCCTGTTGAGATCCTTTCCCCCTTTCCCCCCTAAGGCCTTTTCCCTGCCTGGGATCTTCTCCCTTTCCTCACTGAGATCTTTCCCCCCCTTTCCCTGTTGAGATCCTTTCCCTCCTTTCCTTCCTAAGGCCTTTCCCCCCGCTGAGATCTTCTCCCTACTCCTCCTTAAGATCCTTTGCCTCCTTTCCCCGTTGAGATCCTTTCCCTTCTTCCCTTTAAGGCCTTTCCAGATCTTTTCCCTTTTCCTTCCTAAGATTGTTTCCCCCCTTTCCCTGTTGAGATCCTTCCCACCCTTTCCCGCCTAAGGCCTTTCCCCCCTGAGAGCTTCTCCCTTTTCCTTCCTTAGATCTTTCCCCCCTTTCCCTGTTGGCCTTTTTTTCCCCCAGATCTTCTCCCTTTCCTCCCTAAGATCTTTTCCACCCCTTCCCTGTTGAGATCATTTCTCCCCTTTCCCCTCTAAGGCCTTTGTCCCCAGATCTTCTCCCTTTCCTCCCTAAGATTTCCCCCCCCCCCTTTCCCTGCTGAGATCCCTTTCCCCCTTTCCCCCCTAAGGCCTTTCCCCCCCCTGAGAGCTTCTCCCTTTTCCTTCCGAAGATCTTGTCCCCCCTTTTCCCTGTTAGGCTTTCCCCCCTAAGTCCTTTTCTCCCAGATCTTCTCCCTTTCCTCCCTAAGATCTTCCCCCCCCCCTTTCCTTCCTAAGATTGTTTCCCCCCTTTCCCTGTTGAGATCCTTCCCACCCTTTCCCCCTGAGGCCTTCCCCCCCCTGAGAGCTTCTCCTTCCTTAGATCTTTCCCCCCTCTTTTTCCCCCAGATCTTCTCCCTTTCCTCCCTAAGATCTTTTCCACCCTTTCCCTGCTGAGATCCTTTCCGCCCTTTCCCCCCTAAGGCCTTTCCCCCCCTGAGATCTTCTCCCTTTTCCTCCCTAAAATCTTTTGCAATTTTTCCCTGTTGAGATCCATTCCCCCTTTGCCCCCTAAGGCCCTTTCTCCCTCTGAGTTTTTCCCTTTTCCTCCCTACGATGTTTTCCCCCCTCTCCCTGTTGAGATCCTTTCCCTCCTTTCCCCCCTAAGGCCTTTTTTCCCCCTGCGATCTTCCCCCTTTTCCTTCCTAAGATCTTTTCCCCCCTTTCCTTGTTGAGATCCTTTCCCGCCCTTTCCCCCCTAAGGCGTTTTCCCCCCCAAGATCTTCTCCCTTTTCCTCCCTAAGATCCTTTCCCCCTTTCCCCCCTAAGGCCTTTTCCCTGCCTGGGACCTTCTCCCTTTCCTCACTGAGATCTTTCCCCCCCTTTCCCTGTTGAGATCCTTTCCCCTTTTTCCCCCCTACGGCCTTTCCCCCCGCTGAGATCTTCTTCCTATTCCTCCTTAAGATCCTTTGCCCCCTTTGCCTGTTGAGATCCTTTCCCCCCTTCCCTTTAAGGTCTTTCCTGATCTTCTCCCTTTCCTTCCTAAGATTGTTTCCCCCCTTTCCCTGTTGAGATCCTTCCCACCCTTTCCCCCCTCAGGCCTTTCCCCCCCCTGAGAGCTTCTCCCTTTTCCTTCCTTAGATCTTTCCCCCCTTTCCCTGTTGGCCTTTTTTCTCCCAGATCTTCTCCCTTTCCGCCCTAAGATCTTTTCCACCCCTTTCCCTGTTGAGATCATTTCTCCCCTTTCCCCCCTAAGGCCTTTGTCCCCAGATCTTCTCCCTTTCCTCCCTAAGATCTTCCCCCCCCCCCCTTTCCCTGCTGAGATCCTTTTCCCCCTTTCCCCCCTAAGGCCTTTCCCCCCCCTGAGAGCTTTCCCTTTTCCTTCCTAAATCTTTTCCCCCCTTTCCCTGTTGGGCTTTCCCCCCTAAGTCCTTTTCTCCCAGATCTTCTCCCTTTCCTCCCTAAGATCTTCCCCCCCCTTTCCTCCCTAAGATCTTTCCCACCCTTTCCCTGTTGAGATCCTTTCCCCCCTTTCCCTCCCAAGGCCTTTCCCCCCCTGAGAGCTTCTCGCTTTTCCTTCCTAAGATCTTTTCCCCCCTTTCCCTGTTGGCCTTTTTTCCCCAGATCTTCTCCCTTTCCTCCCTAAGATCTTTTCCACCCCTTTCCCTGTTGAGATCATTTCTCCCCTTTCCCCCCTAAGGCCTTTTTGCCCCAGATCTTCTGCCTTTCCTCCCTAAGATCTTTCCCCCCCCCCAGTTCCTTGTTGAGATCATTTATTTCCCCCCTTTTCCTTCTAAAGATCTTTCCCCCCCTTTCCTCCCTAAGTCCTTTTCCCTGAGTTCGTCTCCCTTTGCCTCCCTAAGATCTTTTCCCCCCTTCTTCCCAAAGTCTTTTTCCCCCTTTCCCGATTGAGATCCTGTCCCCCCGATTGCCCCTTAGGGCCTGTTCCCCCCGAGAAAGATTTCCCTTTTCCTCCCAAAGATCTTTTCCCCCCTTTCCCTTTTAAGGCATTTTTTCCCAAGATCTTCTCCCTTTCCTCCCTGAGATCTTTCCCCCCCTTTCGCTGTTGAGATCCTTTCCCCCTTTCCCCTTCATTTCCTTCACCAGCATGGGCAACATCCCCAGCATCACTTGCATCATCCGCATCCTTGGCAGGCGCTGATGCGGATGATGCAGGTGATGCTGGCGATGTGCCACTGGAGCTGCTAAGGATGCGAAAGCGCACCCGGCGGGAATCGAACACCCCAATGTTTTTGACAAACTGAGTTGCGCAAGCCCGCACAATGTGAAGCGTACGTGGACCCCCCCCCCGCAGGGAGGGGTTTGGGGAGGGGTAACAGGTAAAGAGGTAAGGAGCATTTTTTGTGTCCAACACAACACGCCGTCTGTTGTTGGCGGATTTGAGGGTCCGCCAAAGAGACACACCCATGTAATCAGGGTTCAGACCGGAAGCGCAGTCACTGCGAACGGGAGGTGATGTGCCAAGGACATCAATCAGAGATTTGCCCCACCCCAAAGGACCAGATCCCAAAGCAGACATGTGGCACTTCGGTGTTTGGGCCTGACCCGGCCCTCATAAAGGCCTTACGTACCCTCTTTTTCTCTTATTTACTCTTGTTTGCTCTTGTCTACTCCTTCTTGAGGCTTTGCCTCATGAGATAGGGTCCACGGGTTTGGTGTTGCAACCGTTCAATCAGTCCGATGCAAATTCGTGCTTGCGCATGACCTGACTTTGGGGATAGCTGAAGACGGCTCGCGCATGGAGCCACGCGAGGTAAGTGTTCAGTGACTGTAGCTGCTGCGTGTACATGCCACCCAAGAGAATGAACTGTTTGAGAAAAATTGTTTGTGTGTGTTTTCATGCTAGCTTGGAGCTCACGTTGCGCGGGCACCAAGCCGGTGTTTGTGCTTCATTTCCCTGCTAAACATACCAGATCTGACTCTCAGCCAGCAAAACAGTTTACCCGGAAATCCACCCAAGTTACCAGGAAACTCACCAACTTACCCGGAAACCCACCAATATAACAGCAAACTAATTTGCCCAAAAACCTACCCGTTTTACCAGGGAACCCACTTAAGACATCACTTGCCGCGGAATGTGTGTCTCCCTGTTGAGGCTCGGTGTTTTGTTCAGGATAAATGCAAAGGAAGCAATGGGAGTTCGTTCCACTTAGGGCTTCTGACTGTTGCAAATACACACTGTGACTTCTGGGTGGTTTGAGTTGCCTCTGAATGTCAAATGGGGAGCACCCCTGTAGGTGGACAAAAATCCCACCTAAATGTATGTCCATCAAGATTCCCATTCAAAAGGAAACCAATTGTTGGATCGTTTGACTGTTTGAGTGGATCGTATGGATTGACGAGGGGGTGTAGCTGGATTGGATGGGAATGGAAATTGAATATGGGAGGACGTTGGCCGGACTGAGTGAGTGGCTGCCTGATGCATGTGGCCGATTTCATGACTTCATGGTTCGCGTTTTCTCGTTTGATTTGTGTATTGAAACAAGGGAGAAGGAAATGAGGGACTTGACCTTAATTTGTTAGGCTATTGTTGTCGGTTCTCCTGCAAGGGATTCCGGAGCAACACCGATTTTAGTTGAACCGGAGCTTTGTTTGGCATGTTGGCATTTGGTCAAAGCATCTAGTCTTTTGTCTCTGACTCACTGAAAATAAGCACAACACCAGGGCACCACTTCTTTTGGCCGTGGCTCACATGGCGCAAGCCCTAGGACCTCGGATTCGGACTCTCTATGTCGCACTCTTTGCCCAGAAGCCTTCCATGCAGTTAAACAGATGCGTGGTGGCATGATATCGGTGGAGGCGGCCGAAGACTATGCGGAAGCCTGGAAAGGCGAGATGGGCGTGACTGAGTCTTGGGGCCGTTGAATTTGTTTGGGTTTCTGGGATCTCTTTTGCTACTTGTTTGAGCTTCACAAAATATGGATAATCAACACCTTATTGGTTGGGGGGGCAGAAGCTGGGTAGGTTTTGCTGAATAAACAAAGCATCAAACTGCCGATTCGTGTCTCGCTGAATGACCAAAGCATCCAACTGCCGATTTCCGGCCGTTGCAAAAGCCATCAAGAGCAGCTTTAGGATTGTGGAGTCACATCATTCCATGTCAATGTTGGATGTGGGAAGATGACCCACGTGCTAGTGGGGATATCAAGCTTTCCCCTTAGATTCCTTTGAAAGGGCCAAGCTGCAGCAACCATTGACGGAATCCTTTGTGTGAAATCTGGTTTCCAGTTTTGGGTGGAGTGGCTACTTGTTTATATGAACAACTGACCTTGTCAATGATGCTTAGTGACTGTCATGATACTAGGTGCCTGCACATGATTTGTGTTGCCAAGAATCCAAGCGCGGCATGGATTTTCTCCCTCTCAGCACTGTGATTCGACTCTTGGCTGGTGCGCAGGTCCCTTGTGCATGGAGGTGGATGTGCTTGCCTCGAACTCCTCATGACCCATTCCATTTGGGTGTGTTTTTCTTTGACAACAAACAAAAACTGTGGTTGTCTTTCAAAACACCCCAGCACATGGTACCCTCCAAAAACGACACACCCCTTCTCCCTATGCATGCTGTATGTGATTCTACTTGGTTCATAACCACAACCTGGCTAAACCTCTACAACTTAAATAGCCGGAACCAAAACCATGACCTGGTCCACCACCAGGCCTGCATGAAGCTTTACATTTGCCTGTTACTAAAACGTCTACGGGTTTTGGGCGCTGTTCCAAGCCTTCGGACTTGAAGCACATCAAAACATCGGCGTTGGGAAACGTGGAAGCGTTGGTCATGATCCAACGCACAACTTGATAGGAAGCACAGCTGGCGCAACCTGCTGTGAGATGCCTTGATGAGTTCTGATGGGCATGGTAGACATCGAGAGATGAGCACGAATCCAGTTTTTGGCCATCTCGAGATTTGCGCCAGTTGCAAATCAGGGAGGCATCTGGTGCTGGGTTCAGTGGACCTGTTTGTCGTGCCTTGCCAGTTAGCCTCACAATGGCGTACACATGGCTATGAGTTTCAATGGGGAATCACCTTCAAAGTGACTGACATGCCCCCCCCGAACCTAAGTGATGTCCTCTATTGAGATTGACACCCAACTATGGGTATGTGCCATTAAATTCCCCCCCCCCCCCCCGCGCCATTTGGAGCAAACCCCAAGCTAGGCTCGCCTGTATAGCCTGCCTTCTATGCAAAGAGGGCAAAGATTTGACCAGGGTTGTACAACATGCGGGCGTGCCCTTTTTTTTGAGGGTGCCCGCTGTTTTGTGGTTTTAAAGGGAGACCAGCAGGACACCCAGAATTATGGGGGGAGTCCCCCCAAAAGGGCACACCCATATGTTTTGAAACAGACAGACCCTAACCCCGTTAGGTGAAAAGGAGGTTGAAGTCACAGCTCGACCCAGATATCAATGGAGGTACTCGGGGAACGTTGCTCCATTGAACTGAAAAAAGCTGAAGAGACCTTCAGAGCGGTTCCTTTGGTCTAAATCCTGCCAGTTTCTTAACATTCACTCACTTTCCTACCCTGGGCTTTTCCTACCCTCTTTCAAGCTCCATTTCAAGCTCCATATAACCCCTTTGGCTTAAACATCACCTTTTGGCCTTGCCTAGAGTGAGTTTCTTGGTGGGGTGATGCTGAAAGAGGAAACGAAGGAAACCCTGGTATTTGATTTCGTTCCTTTTTCTGCTGGAGTGATATTGAAGGCTTTCCTTTCAAAACCTCTGCAGTTCAAGTTTCCTTGGGCTACCGGTTTCGGGGCAACCCGATTTCCCGGCGTCGCTTCGTCGAAAGCTCCAGGCCCAGTAGAGCTGGAGGCAGTGGCCTCCGCGGTGGATGAGCCAGGCTTGGGCCGCTTCCTGGCAGATATCTACGTGGACTGGAGCCAATCTGAGAGCTGCTCGGCTCGCGCTTTGGCTCGCAGCCACGTCCTCAAAACCCGGCCAGGTGAGTCCCAGCCAGACATAGCCGCGGACGCCGTGTAGTTTCCTTACATGGATTTGGGTAGACAAGACACGCCCATGTGCATGTGAGGCAACGAGCTCTTGGGCCACTTCGAAGTCAGAGCGCAGCTGCTCTTCTGCCACAAGATCAAGCATCCTGGCCGGCGAGTTGATATCGACCGCCCGATTTAGGTGGCACCTGGCAGATTCATTTGCACAGACAGTAACAATCAGCAACAATCAGGTAGGGATTCTAACCTTTGCATGTAGGGCTTGGGATCGCTTCTTGGGGTATCCGAAAACTCACGTAAGCAAGATTCGCTTTTCTATGGTGTCCTAATATTTCCGGGCATCCAATACAAATGGGCCATGCATGCCCGCCTTGGACAAAAAGCAGCGTGGCCTTGAATGCTTTTGGGCGTCATTTCCGGTCTGGGGCTGGCTAGCTAACAAACTCGCTAACAGCTGGCTAACTAGCTCGCCAGCTATGTAGCTACCAGGAAGCCAGTCAACTTAACTGGCAGTGCTTGGAAGTCGGGGACAGACACGGTACTTGGGAGCGAATTCATGGGTTGTTTTTTGCCCGCGAAACAGAGGGACTTGCAAGGGCTCAGCCATTCCATACCAATCCGAAAGATCTGCTTTGTTCGAGTGGTGGTGTCCTGCGGATTGCGGAGTACGGAACTGGGGTCCCACAACAACCCAGACAGTTCTATGAGGGGCTATGTCTTGAACAAAATCTAGGGGTCAAAAGCGGTGTTGACGTTGGTTGAAAGATGGAGGGTCAACCTTCATACCCAAGAGGATGCTTTGCGATGTTGTCAGGTAAACCCACCCCTCCTCTAAAGAGACTCTGCCGGTAGGGCCACGCTTGGCATTGCTGACATAGCTGTGCTTTCTGGTCAGTTTGGTTTACCTACATAGACGCCTTTGGTAAGTCAGTTCGGTTCTAGCCAAGAGCAAAATCGATCAACTTTTCCAAAGGACAGGCTTTTGGCCTTACTTCGGTTGAACAGAACGTTGGACTGAGAGGGTTCCCTTCAGGGTTTTCCAGGTTGTAGGTTCCTTTTTGATCTTTTTGGGAGGGGGTAAACCCTAGCAAACCACCCACAACACTACCCAAAGAAAAAACACGGCTTGTACCCTTTATTCCGTGAATGTCTATATATGAATTAGTGGCCGCATATCCCATTAAACCCCTGGGTCCCATTAAACCCCTGGGTCCCGGTAGGGGGTTTGGGGTGGCAACCATCTTGCCACATCTAGGCTGGACAACCAGTCTCACTTGGTACGAGCCCATGACACAGGTCCTGTTCCTGGGAGCCTCCCATTTCTTTCAGCTTGGAAGGTTTCACACAGAAATGGTGCAGAAGCTTCATGGTGTCGGCACGAGGTTCCGCTCGGCGATGGCTTTGGGAGAATGGGCCTCCAGCTGGCTCTGCGTGCGGCGACATCTGAGAACATCTTCAGGCGGGATGAGCCAAGCGGCGCAAATGTTTGGTCTCCTCCAAAACGATGTTCTATTTTATAATGGTGTGGGGACCCAAACGTTGGTTGCCAAAATGGGGGGGGGGTTCTCAAA